CAGAGAGCTCTATAAAAACTAAAGTACTTTGCTTCTTCTGTGTGCAGTAGGTGTGGTGGTTGTTGGAAATCTAAACAGTCTGACCAGTACAGCTATGCATGTGGACACCTACCAAATAGGAGCCATCACAGGGATCATTGTCCTGGTGCTACTGGTGCTTCTTCTCCTGGTCCTTCTCATCATTTACAAGAAGAAGCAGAAGGGTAAAGCCTCCACCATGCCAGCTGTGTACGCTCCAGCTGTGAGGGTCACGGCGGATTACACAACGGCAGGTAGATTACACTGATGTGTAAAAAGGACCATTCATAAAAGATGGACTAAAGAGTGTTCTCTGAAGCTAGTCTCAGAACGTCTTACCTGCATCACCTCTAATTATCTAATCTGTGATTCATTCCTTTCATCTGCAGAGGCCAAACTAGAAACTTAAAATGTTGATAAGGGATCTTCTTCTGAAAGAAGGCGCATTCACACTACAGTCAGCTCAGTTTGGCCCTGGTAGGGTCAGTGCATTTATATTTGCATTGTGCGTGCGGAGCCGACTGTTTTTTTTTTCAGTCCTGCTTCCTTGTGGTTGAGGCAGGGACAGCAGTAGCTCAGGAGGTACAGCGGGTTGTCCATTAATCGGAAGGTTGCAGGTTTGATTCCTGCTCCGACCGGAGAAAGCTGCTGTTGTGTCTTTGGACAAAACACTTAACCCACCTAGCCTGCTAGTGGTGGTCAGAGGGACAGGTGGTGCCAGCATTCGTTAAGCTTCGCCTCTGTCAGCGTGCCCCAGGGCAGCTGTGACTACATTGTAGCTCATCATCAGCAGTGTGTGAATGGGTGAATGACTGATTGTGTTGTGAAGCGCCTTGGGGGGGTTGTAGAACCCTAAGAAGGAGTTATACAAATACAGGCCATTTAACATTGGTTCTTTTTGAGCTGAGTCGACCATACACACCCACCTTTAGACTGACTGGCCGGCTGAAGTGGTCACTCTCACGCCTACCTAGGTTGTGAGAGCACCCGATTGGCCTGGCAGTGTGTGTGTGAATTAAATAACAAGCACTTACCCTAATGTTCCTTCATGCTTCCAAATGGTTTCTTGGATGGCTTCCTATACCTCTTCTGGGCCTAAAGCCTTGCCTTGTGAAGCCTTTTGTTTGTTGAGATTGTTCTTCAAAAAGATCCACAGTCGGAGTACCAAACATAAAAGTACCTCAACGTACTCCGTTGTTTTTAACCGTCTCATCCCATTTGTCTCAACTGACCCGCTTTTGTTTACTAACTTACAAATTACATCACAAACACAGTGGCGTGTCCAGATCTTTTAAAATGGAGTGGCCCAGGTGAGGCACTACTTTGTGCAAATGTGGCACCAGTGGTTATGCTTTTTTGTTTTACCTCAAGCCTTTTGTGGACAATGAAATGCCTATTTAAAGGGAATTCTGTGTGGTGACACCTGGGGTGGCCAATCAGATTCCAAGGGTGGCATGTGCTGCCCCAGGCCACTCCCTGGACACGCCCCTGCACAAACATATCCGCACCACTTCAGTGGAACCCGCCTATGTCCTCAACCACGTCCATGTTCCCGAGAAGGCCATGTAAGCATAACCGGGCCAAGCGGGGGTGGGCTGTGTACACGTGGGTCAGGCCGATCCAACCATAATGTAAATGCGCCAATAGTGTGCTCTGCTGATACTTCTTGCCCTTCTTTAGATGCTCACTCTCCAACCAGTGAGGCCCATCCAAGCAACTACTTTTCTAACCCCAGTTACCACACCCTACCCCAGTGCATCAGCCCCTCCCACATCAGCGGCGGCCTGTATGGACAGGTGGGAACACTGCAGTTCAGAAGAGTGAAGTGATGGAAAAGAAACATCTGATACTCATCCATGTGCCGTTACACTGTTTTTAGGCCAATCATAGTCATCTGTTTGCAAATATGAAGCTTGTGGATCATCTTGGTGGTCACACTAGCACTCTACCTGCAGATTGGAACCAAGGTGACTGCTTCTCTGAACTCGGTGAGTCATCAAGTCTCTTGGGGTATAATTGTTGTTTGTTGCAGTGTGGTAACAGCCAGTAGAGGGGCACCTGTCTTCTTGTGGTCCCTGTATTTTTGAGAAGACATTCATTGGTGCACTGCTGATGTGTGTTGCTGAAGTTAGCTGCAGCCATGAACGATGTCAACAGAACAAAGAGCTGCTATTGCTGAGATCGTGGTGCATATGAAAGGAATTTATACAGATGGGATATTATGGGGAAACATACTTGGCTCGTTAAAGTAATCACACGCAAATGTCTCGCTTTGTGTCGTCACCCACAACTGGACAATAAACAACACTCATCTTGCATTTTTTTCACTTTCTCATGTAAAACATAACTACAAAAATGTGAATTTCAGATACTTTGTTCCTTATTTGATGATTTGTTGGTACTGGCAGAATGAATCTTGCTTGTAATAATGTGTCACACCGGTTTTCATCCTTCCTGTTGTCTCCTAAATAATGTGGTTTCTCCATCCCAGGAGCCTGTGGAGTAAGCAGACCTTACATGGGGGACCCTTTGAGAGGTAGGTCCTCCCCACTAACATCTTTATTTATAAATGTATTTGTTTTATATATTTTATAAGGTTATCTGTTCATAATGGTTGTTTTACTTCTTGTCATCCAGATGTGCTGCAGGCTACAGCCTATCATGGAAGCTCCATTTCACTTAGCAGCTCTGAAAACCCATATGCCACAATAAAAGACCCTCCGCTGCCAAACTCCAAAAACTCTGAGTGTGGCTACATGGAAATGAAATCACCCAGAAGAGATTCAGCATATGCAGAAATAAGCAACAGCAGCCCAACCGGAATGTCTATGAAGTTGGTAAAGAGCCTGTTTCTGTTTTGTCTCGTCAGCTTTTGACTCAGAATGCTGATCTACAGCTAGTTAGTGTCAGGGGTCTGCAGTATTTCCGGTGAAAATACCTTCAGGAATTAATCTTTGTACAAAGAAAACTGAGGGATGTTTTGTGGTTTTATTAAGACGTAATAAAAAAAAATCTGGTTTATTGGTTCTTCCTGAGAAAACCATGAGGTAACTTTTATTGCTTGGTGGGCCCTCAAGGTCTGTAATTGGAGTGTTTTTCTGTTATGCTTTAACCCTCTGGAGGCAGGCGTTGCAGATTTGCAACGTTAAAACCTACCTACCTGGTTACTCCACGTACGTATTTCATGAGCATTTTTAACTCAGAAGTACCCCTGAAGGACTTAGTTGCTCGTCCTTTTATCAAAACTTATTTTGAGCCTGAGAGGGTTAAACAGTTTTAATAAACATTAAATAAAATAGGCACATTTGTTTATTATTATTATTATTATTATTATTATTATTATTATTATTATTATTATTATTATTAGGGTTAAGGTTCCAGCAGAACTTTAGTAACCAAACTTGCCAAGTTCAAAGGGAATATTTCTTCAGCTTGCATGTGCACATAGGTGAACACACTTTTCTCTGAAGCATTAGATTGCGTTATTTTGTTGAACTTTAAAAGACATGTTTTGATTCCAGAACCGACTGTGAACACCATCCTGCCATCTGCAGCAAACAGCAGCCATCTGCTCTACGATTGACCAACAAACAGCCTAGTGTCCCGTCAGCACCACCTCCTGCCACCCACAGGAAGTCCTCCATCACAGCTCAGAGAAGAACCGGACTGTAAATAACAGCTTAGATCCAAAAAGAAGTCTAGTGCCAGCACTAGATGGTGTATATACTTTATCTCTACAACATATCTTCTGTTTTATTTTGTAATCGTTGACATATATTTGTAATGTAAATTGACATTTGGTTGGTATTTTAATGATGTGTTTGGCCTGGTTCAGACCCAGCACCAACGTGTGTCCTGAGTGACTACATTCTGCCCTATTTCTCATCAAGATAATGATAAATGACCTGCAGTTGCAAATCGCCTTTCCAAGCCAAAAGACTCCAAAGCACTGTACACTCACCCTTGATGGTGGTGAGCTACAATGTAGCCACAGCTGCCCTGGGGCACACTGACAGAGGCAAGGCTCCAGAGCACAGGTGCCACAAGTCTCTTCGACCTCCACCATCAAGCAAGGAGGATGAAATGTCTTGCCCAAGATTATAACAGCAGAATTCCTTGTAGGGAGCTGGGATTGATCCGGCAACCCTCCGATAACTGAGCAACAAACTCCTGAGAGACTGCTGCCCCAATGTGTATGTTAGCAGAAATAAATTGACCCATATGGGTCTGCTGGTGGTTTTGAAAAACTGATTGCCTGGTGTCCTCACAGGTGGTTTTTGTGTTTTGCTAGGTAAATGAGCAGCCTACAGCTCACCCAGGTAACAGAACATCAGGGGTCTCATTTATCAAACATTGCGTAGAATCCTTACTAAAACCGTACTTAAGCTCAGCAAAAATAAATGTACATACGCCAAGTAGGTTTGTGATCTATCAAACATGGAGTACGCACAGCTGCACGCAATCTCAGCTTCATAAATCAGACACTATCTAGAAAGGTTCTCAGCTGCATTTTAGTCACATCCCGCCCTCACCACACCCACTTACTGCCATAAATAGTCAATGCAAAGTGCCTTGTGGATCTCATGCATATACATAAGCCGGCTGTTGCAGCGCTCCGCCAATGACATGGCGACCGTAGATCAAGGCAGTTCAAGGAAGTGCAATTTCACAGAAGCAGGAATTGAGGTACTTGTGGGTGAGGTGGAGAAATGAAAGGAAGTGCTTTTGCAAAACAAATAAGAGAAAATCCACGGAGTGGCACAGGGTTGCTGAAGCCGTCAATGTTGTGAATTCTTCAGAGAGATCTGTGGCGGATATAAAAAAAAAAAGAAGGTCCAATCGGGATTCAATCCCCAGACTCCAGGGTGAAAGTCACACGCGCTAACCAGTCACCCAAATGGAGATCTCCCTTGTACACGTGGCCAGGGCGCATCATCAATCAGGTCAAAGTGACAGGACACACACACACTGTCACAGATGCATGACATTATGTCTCAATCTGTCCCCCTGCTGATATTCTACATTCCGTATTCTGTGCTTCAGGCTGTGTGTGTGTGTGTGTGTGTGTGTGTGTGTGTGTGTGTGTGTGTGTGTGTGTGTGTGTGTGTGTGTGTGTGTGTGTGTGTGTGTGTGTGTGTGCGCATGTGTTTACGCGTGCGCGTGTGTGTGCATGTGGGAGGTCTTGTTCTGTGTGAAAACGAAGCAGTACAAGTGATAATGCTGCAGGATTTCATAATTTTATCCTTCTCAGTAGCAGCACTGCAGGTGCTCTCCATGTCCAAAATGTGCGTAAGCAAGGTCCTTAGTCAACATAAAGTTGTGCACATTTTTCCGCTAAGTTAATCCCAAAGTTTGCGTGGAAAGTTGCTTATGCAGTTTTCCGACCCCGTTTTGTGCGTAAGCAAGCTTGATAAATGAGGCCCCAGATTAGTAGGTAGTTCTTCAGTCTGGTTCAGAACAAACACTCGGACATGTGGGTGCAGTGTGTTCTGATTCACCTCTGAATGTGGCACGGGTCTTCAACCCAACCTACATGTTTCCACTAGCAGAGTTCACTTGTGATCCCATTATCAGTGATGGAATGTAAAAAAGTACAAGTACTTGTAAAAAAAAAAAGTACAAAAGTGCAAGTATTTTTTTGCCGTGCTGAACATTTTTTCTGTATCTGTACTTTACTTGAGTAATTTTCTTGAGGCCTTTTTCCTTTAACTCCACTACATGTTAAAGCAGTTATCTGTACTTCTGACTTCACTACATTTTCTAAAATGTTTTTTAAAGTACTTTATCATGTGTTTTTCAACCCCCACCCCACCCCTGGTTCAATAGAGACTGGCAGCACACTCCCTTGTCCACACTGGACTGTATTTCCAAATATAATAGTACTTTAATTTTCTTTTTTTCCACTTCAGTAGCTCACTTCTACACACACAGTGCATATTTAAATGTTAGTTGAATACTTTTAATGTAGTATATTTGAAAAGACCTACTTTAATACTTTTACTTAAGTTAAAATTTCTTGGATACTTCCACTTTTACTTTAGTAATTTTGTACCCCTTTGTACTTTTACTTAAATATGCAAAGTAAATAAATTACTTGTTCCACCACTGCCATTACACAGGATGCAAGTTAATAATAGGTCTGAACCAGATCTGAGGTCCAGTCAGTAAGACCTCTTCCATGTAGTGTTTCTGTGTCAAGCCTAGATCACACTGTGTTTTTCAGCTATCGCAAATGACTACTTCATGTCACACAGCTTTACAGAGGTGGAACAACTGACATGGCCCAAGATTTCAGTAAGTTCAACTCATTCACACAGTAATCCAACTGCACGATGTCTCACTTTAACCCTCCCACTGTCTTTATGGGAGACCCTGTGAGGAAAGTTGATCATTGAGCAGGATTTAAGTTTTATCCCTTTAGGTCCACATGGCAGGGGTGAGGGGTGCTCACTCCTCCTCACCCTGCTCAATGGTCAGCTTTCCTCGTGGGGTCACACCCATTAGGACAGTGAGAGGGCTAACAGGACATGCTAGGGGTTGTCAATTGCAGGCAGGGGTTTTAGGTTTTCTGAAAATGCTTGAAGAGCATTGGAGGCTTGATTTAGTCATGAGAGTACTCAATCGCTGTCGGTGTGCCGGTCACACTGGATGGCCATAGATTTACAAATCACTCTCATGGACATTATTTTTTAGTCATAATACAATTTACATGGAAAGATTTGTCTATGATAGCTGCAAAACGCACAATGTGAACTGGGCTTTAGTCAGAGACTCCAGACCAACTGAAGCGCTAAAAGAGCTCCTCTGTACAGTTTCTCTCAGGACACGATCACATAAAGTTTTAATGTGAACTGAAATGTTCAATCACCAGGTTATATGTTGAGTCATAAAATGACCTCCTGGGTCATTGGGTGAGATCATCTGACCTTGTTGCTCCACACAGGTAACCTTTATGACATATTCCTGTAAAACCAATAACAGAGTAATTATACACAGAAGCATGGATTAAATCTGTTTTGTATATCGAAGAGTGTTTTTTTCCCCATTGTACCGGTTTGTTCTGTCCTTAAGCAACTTTTAAAAACCAGAAATATCCTGTTTTCTCTGGAACCCTAAAGTCTCTCGAAACCTAGACTGAGTAAGAAAACCTGTTAAATTTATTTATTTGAAACTCATTCTCCAAAACTAAACGTGTTGTATTTAATACACTTGCTAGTCCAAACCAAATATCCATAGAGGGACAGTTTATATTTTACAGTAGAAGCCGATCATGTCAAATAGAAATCTACACCTCCATTTAATCAGATGTTACATTAAATACCATAAATAATCTTTGTTGTTGATCAAACGTTTGATTGAATTATCCTTGCAGATTACATGAGCAAATTAGTGAGGCTGATTCAGTAGGTGGGCTGATTAATTTACCTGGCCAACATGGCACCGTCTTCGTCGTGTGAAGGAGTCGCAGGTCAGACTCCTCCCACTGGCGGGTCAGTAGGAGGAGTCTGGAGAGCAGACGTGGCAAAGCAGAACGTCACCATCACGCGCCGGTGGTTGACTCTACATGGTGGAACAAAGATAGCTGGTAAGTTCTGGTTCTGGGTTCTGATGTTGAAGAGAAGAACACGTTAGTGAGTCAGCTGTCCGCCATGCTGACAGTTAGACGAGCTGGTGGGGTAAAGCCACAGTGTAGCCTCTGCTGTGGACAGGGTGCTAGTGGTCCTGATGGTGCTGGTTCGGACCGATGCGTTCCTGATGGTGGTTCTAGAACTCGTCTCCATATTAAAAACCCAGATCAGACATTTACACGATCTGTGTAGTCTGTAGAAAGCTTTAGATAAAAACACGGAGTCTATAGAGGAATTCGTTTATGCCCCTAGGAAACAAAAGCAAAGTGATCTGAGCTGTCATGCGTATTTAAAGGTATTAAGAGTGGCTGTCTGTAGTGGTCCTGATGGCCCTGTTCTTGGTGGTGATCCTCATGGAGATAGATGTGATGGTGGAGGATTTAAGTCAGTTGAGAAGAAGGTTCTGGTGTGTGTGAATTGTGGTTTTCACAAAGTTAGTTGCTTCAGTGTTTTTCATCTTTTAGTCAGTTGTTTCTGTCATGTATTGAAGTATAATCACTAACACTTTGAAAGGCTTTGATTACATCTAGTTTAAGAGTTCAAGAGTCGGTGTTTGCAGTGTTGGCTCTTCCTCTGTAGTTGGCCCTGACACGCTTTCAATCAGCTTCTGGACCAGATCCTTTCCTTCCATAATCAGGGCCTGGAGTTAGTCACAGTTAGTGTGTTTTTGTTTGTCCACCTGCCTCTGGAGGGTTGATCACAAGTTCTCAACTGGATTAAGGTCTGAGGATTTTCCTGGTCATGGACCCAAAATTTCTGTTTTTATTTGAACATTGTAGGTGTGTTCTTGCTGTGTCGTATCTCTAATTCCATGCTGTATTTCTTTTTTAAAACACAGAGCAGTTTTGTTTACCTGTTTTCCCGCTACGTTTCGTTTGCGGCTGCAAACTTCCTCAGGCTGACGCTGATGATGGCGTCACTTACTTCTCCGTTTATCCGCGGGCAGCAGAGGACGTTGTCATACGTTGTGACATACTCATCTAACATGACGTCACATCCCTGTTCACAAAAACACCAACCAAAAAAACCTTTGACATAGTAGTTAACAGAGTCAGACAGGACAAGACTTTACACTAAAGAACAAACCTCACAGCAGATGACATAGCACAACTGATAGGACTGGTAGCTAACTCCACTTACTTCACATATGACAACACAATATACAAACAACAGGAAGGCTTCGCCATGGGTAACCCGTTATCAGCCACCCTGTGTGAGTTTTTCATGGAAGACCTAGAACAAAAAGCCATAGCCACTGCTCCCCCAAACTGCTAAATAAAACTATGGAAACACTACGTAGACGACATACTGGAAATTATACCAAAAGGACAAACCGAAACACTAACACAACACTTGAGTAACATTGACGACACGGGCAACATAATGTTCACTTATGAGACAGAAAAAGAAGGCAGCATAGCATTTATGGACATGAAAATCACCAGGCAGACCGACGGGACCCCAAATATAAACACATATAGGAAACCAACACACACAGACCAATATCTATTATGGACATCAGAACACCCCACCATACACAAAATGTCAGTAATCAGAACACTATATCACCGAGCAAACATAATAACAGAAGAAAGAGACTGTAAACAAGAGGACAAACACATACAACACACTTTAAAGACCTGCGGATACCCGACATGGGTGATAAAGGAAAACAGCAAACAACAACAGAAAGAAAAGAACAAGCTAAGCAAAGAACCAGAAACCCAGAAAAAACAACAACCAAAACCAGTGGTAACCCTACCACATATCAAAGACATAACAGAAAAAGTAAGACCAACAATGAAAAAACACAACATAAACACACCAACAAAACCATACACAACAGTTAGAAACAGACAGGTACACCCAAAAGACAAAATATCAGCTGGACTTAAATGTGGAGTCGTTTATGAAATCCCATGCAAACTCTGCAATAAAACATACATAGGAGAAACCGGACACCAACTCAACACACGAACAATAGAACATAGAAAGGAGTGCGAGAAAGAGGCAAGTCGAAGATACACAAGAGCAGCAAGACAAGAAGCAGAAAGCACAATAAAGAAGTCAGCCGTAACAGATCACTGCACAAGAGAAAACCATGTAATGGACTGGGACAACACAAGGATCATAAACACCGAACAACAAAAATACAAAAGATGGATAAAAGAAGTAATCGAGATAAGGAGACGTGGATGTGGGACCAAGAACAGGGACGATGGAGTTTACACGTTGGACCGCACATGGGACTGCATCGTCGGAGAGGGGAGAGCGGGCAGCAGAGGGCGACAACATCCTCTGCTGCCCGTGGATAAATGGAGAAGGAAGTGACGCCACCATCAGTGTCAGCCTGAGGAAGTCTGCAGCCGCAGACGAAACGTAGCGGGAAAACAGGTAAACAAAAACTGTTCTGTGTTTTTAAAAAAGAACGTAAGCATGGAATTTCTGTTTTTAGCTTCATCGCTTTAGTTTTATGGCACGGTGCTCCATCATGCTTCACCAGGTTGTTCTTGGATGGTTGGAAGAAGTTCCAGTTGGATGTTTTGGTACATTTCTTTATTGATGACTTATGGGAGTGCTCACCTTATCTTCTGCAGACCATCCTTTCTCCAGATGCCTTAAACAACCAGAAAAGAGCTTCATGTTACCCCAGTCCTCTGCAGCCCACTCACTGTTGTTTCTGTAGTGGCTTCTTTCTGCCCTTCTTGACACCAGGACATCCTCCAGAAGTCTCCTCTCTGTGCTGCAGATGCACTCCCACTTGCTGCTGCTGTTCCTGAGCAGCTCTGCACTGGTGGCACCTCGATCCGTCGTCTTCGTCTTCCTCCGCTTATCCGGGTCGCGGGGGCAGCATCCCAGTTAGGGAGCTCCAGGCCGTCCTCTCCCCGGCCTTGTCCACCAGCTCCTCCGGCAGGACCCCAAGGCGTTCCCGGACCAGATTGGAGATGTAACCTCTCCAACGTGTCCTGGGTCGACCCGGGGGCCTTCTGCCGGCAGGACATGCCCGAAACACCTCCCCGGGGAGGCGTCCAGGAGGCATCCTGACCAGATGCCCAAACCACCTCAACTGGCTCCTTTCGATCCAGAGGAGCAGCGGTTCTACTCCGAGTCCCTCCCGAATGTCCGAGCTCCTCACCCTATCTCTAAGGCTGAGCCCGGCCACCCTACGGAGGAAACTCATTTCGGCCGCTTGTATCCGCGATCTCGTTCTTTCGGTCATTACCCAAAGCTCATGACCATAGGTGAGGATTGGGACGTAGATCGACCGGTAAATCGAGAGCCTGGCTTTCTGGCTCAGCTCCCTCTTCCCCACGACAGATCGGCTCAGCGTCCGCATCACTGCAGACGCCGAACCAATCCGCCTGTCGATCTCCCGATCCCTCCCACCCTCACTCGTGAACAAGACCCCGAGATACTTAAACTCCTCCACTTGAGGTAGGACCTCTCCCCCGACCCGGAGGTGGCAAGCCACCCTTTTCCGGTCGAGAACCATGGTCTCAGATTTGGAGGTGCTGATCCTCATCCCAGCCGCTTCACATTCGGCCGCGAACCTACCCAGCAAGAGCTGAAGGTCAGAGCTGGATGAAGCTAGGAGGATCACATCATCCGCAAAAAGCAGAGACGAGATTCTCCTGCCACCAAACTCGACACACTCCACACCACGGCTGCGTCTAGAAATTCTGTCCATAAAAGTGATGAACAGAACCGGTGACAAAGGGCAGCCCTGGCGGAGTCCAACCCTCACTGGGAACAGGTCCGACTTACTACCGGCTATGCGGACCAAACTCACGCTCCTCTGGTAAAGGGACTGAATGGCCCTTAACAGAAAGCCACCCACCCCATACTCCTGGAGCGTCCCCCACAGGGTGCCCCTGGGGACACGGTCATAAGCCTTCTCCAAATCCACAAAGCACATGTGGATTGGTTGGGCAAACTCCCATGCCCCCTCCATCACCCTTGCAAGGGTATAGAGCTGGTCCACAGTTCCACGGCCAGGACGAAAACCACATTGCTCCTCCTCTATCTGAGATTCAACTATCGATCGGACCCTCCTCTCCAGTACCTTGGCGTAGACCTTTCCAGGGAGGCTGAGGAGTGTGATCCCCCTATAGTTGGAACACACCCTCAGGTCACCCTTCTTAAAGATGGGGACCACCACCCCGGTCTGCCACTCCCTAAGAACTGCCCCCGATGACCACGCAATGTTATAGAGACGTGTCAACCATGACAGCTCTACAACATCCATAGCCTTGAGATACCCAGGACGAACCTCATCCGCCCCCGGGGCTCCGCCGCTGTGTAGTTGTTTGACTACCTCAGCAACTTCTGCCCCCGAGATCGGACAGTCCATCCCCAGGCCTCCCAGCTCTGGTTCCTCCTCGGAATGCGTATTGGTGGGATTGAGGAGCTCCTCAAAGTATTCCTTCCACCGTCCGACTATAGCCTCAGTTGACGTCAGCACCTCCCCATCCCCACTGTAAACAGTGTGAGCGAGTTGCTGCCTTCCTCTCCTGAGGCGCCGGACAGTTTGCCAGAACCTCTTTGGAGCCGATCGATAGTCTTTCTCCATGGCCTCACCAAACTCCTCCCACGACCGAGATTTTGCCTCGGCAACTGCCACTGCTGCACCCCGTTTGGCTATCCGGTACCTGTCTGCTGCCTCCGGAGAACCACAGACCAGCCACTTCCTGTAGGCCTCCTTCTTCAGCCTGATGGCTCCCCGAACCTCTGGTGTCCACCAGCGGGTACGGGGGTTGCCACCACGACTGGCACCGGCCACCTTACGACCACAGCTAGCAACAGCCGCCTCGACAATCGCAGAGTGGAACAAGGCCCACTCGGACTCAATGTCCCCCACTGCTCTCGGGACGTGGTCAAAGCTCTGCCGGAGGTGGGAGTTGAAGACCGTCTTGACAGGTTCTTCTGCCAGGCGTTCCCAGCAGACCCTCACTATGCGTTTGGGTCTGCCAGGTCTACGCGGCATGTTCCCTTGCCATCTGATCCAACTCACCACCAGGTGGTGATCAGTTGACAGCTCCGCCCCTCTCTTCACTCGGGTGTCCAAAACATACGGCCGCAGGTCAGATGATACGACTACAAAATCTATCATCGACCTGTGACCTAGGCTGCCCTGGTACCAAGTGTACCGGTGGGCATCCTTATGTTCGAACATGGTGTTCGTTATGGCCAAACTGCGGCTTGCACAGAAGTCCAATAACAAAACACCGCTCGAGTTCAGATTAGGTGGGCCGTTCCTCCCAATCACACCCCTCCAGGTCAAGCTGTCATTGCCCACGTGAGCATTGAAGTCCCCCAGCAGGACAATGGAGTCCCCTGATGGAGCACTATCTAGCACTCGTCCCAGGGACTCCAAAAAGGGTGGGTACTCTGAACTGATATTTGGCCCATAAGCACAAACAACAGTCAGGACCCGTTCCCCGACCCGAAGGCGCAAGGAAGCTACCCTCTTGTCCCCCGGGGTAAACCCCAACACACAGGCAGAGAGTCTCGGGGCTAACAAAAAGCCAACCCCAGCCCTCCGCCTCTCACCCGGAGCAATTCCAGCAAAGTAGAGTGTCCAACCCCTCTCCAGGTCTCGGGTTCCAGAGCCAATGCAATGTGTCGAAGTGAGTCCGACTATGTCTAGCCGGTACCGCTCAACCTCTGCCACAAGCTCCGGCTCCTTCCCCGCCAGCGAGGTGACGTTCCATGTCCCAAAAACTAGTTTTCTTGTCCGGGGATTGGACCGCCAAGGCTCCCGCCTTGGTCTGCCACCCGATTCGCATTGCACCGGACCCTTCATGTTCCTCCTGCGGGTGGTGGGTCCACAGTTGGACGAGCCCATGTATCCGGTTCGGGCTGGGCCCGGCCGGGCCCCATGGGCGAAAGCCCGGCCACCAGGCGCTCGCTCACGGGCCCCAACCCCAGGCCTGGCTCCAGGGTGGGACCCCGGTAACCCTCCGGGCCGGGTACTCCGACTCTTCGTTTTAACCGCCATGAAAGATCCTTCGAACCGTTCTTTGTCTCACCCTTCACCTAAGACCAATTTGTCATGGGAGACCCTACCAGGGGCACTAAGTGCCCCAGACAACATAGCTCCTAGGATCATTAGGGCACTCAAACTCCTCCACCACGATAAGGTGACGGTTCAAGGACGAGACCTCGACCACCTCGATCCTGCCGCTGAATCCTCTTTAGGAGACGTCTCGGCTCTTGCTGGACTTTCTTGGAGCCCTGAAGCTTTCCACACAATCATAAAACCCAGTGATGAATGTTGACCTGTTTCAGCTGGACTTGTGCTGCTGGAACAGGCAGCACAATGTCTCAAACGGTTTGGTCTTTATCCTGCATGTGAACTTCCATCTGGATCTAGAAGATGGTTTCCCTAGAGTAAAAGCTCCTCCTTAGACCTGGTGTTTGTTGTGTTTCTGTGAAGAACCTGAATAATGATTCGAACTTGATCCCTTTTATCGCAGCAGGATAGAGAACTGAACGCTGGTCCTCCGCCGAGAAGATGATGGAAGAAAGTGGAGTAGAGACGACTCCTCCCGTCAGCCCCTCAGCAGCAGCAGCAGCAGCTTCAGCCAGCAGCCCACCAAACAGCGCTGCAGGCAAGGGCATCAGTTTGTTTTTAGTATTGCTGGAGACAAGTATTATTAATTATTCATATATAAGTACTCGTTATTTGACATTGGGTGTTTATTTAGTAAATAAAAGTTAAAAGCATGTGCTCAAACCAGCAGCCCACCAATTACAGGCCAAACCCCTAACCTCTATTCTCTTTCACAGAAAAATACCATAAATAATAAGTAGCTTACCCATGTCAGGCTTCGGTCAGCACCACGCTCCCTCACCTTACTGTCCGCCGGAGTAGTAAAAGATATAGTTGCGGTTTCACAGTTGAACTGTGACAACTGAATAAGGTAGTGGAATAGAGTCATTTAAATAACCATCATTTGCTTTTATACGCAAATTCTACAGAGAGCACGAGTCGATGATGTAGCTAAGCTGGTAAGAGTTGATGCATCTGGTTTTTAAAAGTGGTGGGGACAAAACTGTCAAGCACAAATATCAGTGGGGACAAGTACCCAGCATCCCCAGCTGAAACGATGCCTACAGCTGCAGGACCCAGTCAGGTACACTGTGTGGATGTATTTACTTCCTGTTTAGCTGGTTACAGGTGTAAATGTTAAAGACAAAGGATATGTAACCAGAAGCTGACAGCAGATGGACTCAGAGCACCAAAACCATAGCAACACTAGAGAGCTGCATTTGGACTTGGGTCCTGTAGGACCTAATGCAAGTCTCATGGGAGCGGGAGATAGAAAGGTGGATGTAAGGCTGCTGCACATGCGAGCGGGTGGCTAGAAATGGACTGTGGGAGCTAAGATCACCAGTAGAATGGAGAGAATAGCTGAGGTTGGTAAACCAGAAGTGGATTATAAACTAGTCCAGCATAGGGCTGTAGTCCACACCAGGACCTGCTTTCTAGTCCACCAGTCAGCTGCTGCCTGCTGAAGCAGGTACGTTCACAGATCAGTGCGCCTGAGCAGGTAAGACCTGACCAGGGACCTCTTGTACAAAGACCGTTGTGGACTTCCTACTAAAAGACAGGGTGCGCTCAAGCCTGGAAGACTATGTGCACGCAAACAGAGCCAGATGTATCAAACCACAGTTTGAAACGTCTGAATCTGCACATTTCTAGACTCTGATAAATGTTGCTCTCCCCAATTTAAACATGCTAATAGATGCTGACATGTCCTGCAGGAGTGAGTCTTCTCTCTGTGTGATCAGACGTTAACACATGTGGGGATAAAGAAAACCTCCACAGAACTTCTAAATGAGGTAGAGGCACTGTAAACATTGTTTTTGCTGCTCTGTCATCAGCTGTAGCTCAGTAGACAGTGGTTCCACAGTTCACAGCAGATTATATTAGACTCAACAAGTAGTTATATCCCATCTAATCCTCCTTCCTTAGTGTTACAGCTCTTAGTCTGATTACTTAGATTATAATGGATTACTCACACAATCATTAAATGTCTGAGAAACAGTGTGGCTGGAGTGTTTTGCATGGGTTTGTGTTAGTGAATTAAATTCAATTAAATTTTATTTATATTGCGCCAAATCACAACAAGAGTCGTCTCAAGGTACTTCACATAATAAACATTCCAATTCAGGTCAGTTCATTAAGCCAAACAGAAATAATGTTTCCTATATAAGGAACTAGTCAAGTCACTGACTAGTGTCAGTGATTTTACAGCAATCCTCATACTAAGCAAGCATAAAGCAACAGTGGAGAGGAAAACTCCCTTTTAACAGGAAGAAACCTCCAGAGAATCCTGGCTCAGTATAAGCAGCCATCCTCCACGACTCACTGGGGATCGAGAAGACAGAACATGCACGCACAGTAATGTGATTTCTTAGTAAATATTCTGTTTGGTGTGAGATAAACTTTATTGTATTTATCCTAGTGGATCTATAATTAAACGGATAAACTAGCAGTAGCACATCCAACGTCAAGGAAAGCAAAAAGTTATTATCAGGAGAGGGAGAATGTTTTAAGTGGTTAGCAGCAGTGTGCTGGGTGACGGCCTCCTCCATGAGGCCACCACAGCTCAGCAGAACATTGTAGCTTCTTCTGGGGAGAAAAACACTTTGAGAAAAAATAAAGTTAACAGCTGAAATTGCAGAAAATAATACAGTTAGAGAGCAGATTGTATAAGAAAGCAGTAGAGTGTGAAAAGTGGTCAGTGTATCCTCCAGCAGTCTAAGCCTATAGCAGCATAACTACAGAGATAACTCTGGATAATCTATTTTATTTAGATGGAGGCATGTTGGAGGCAGTGCAAGAGAGAGCCATCTTTACCAACTGTACACTCCACCTGCCTCTACTCCCCCACTTGTCCAGATCTAGGCTAACATCAGATTTTAACCATAGGCCCTATCAAATAAAAATGTTTTAAGCCTATTAAAAGTAGACAAGGTGTCTGCCTCACGGACTAAAGCTGGGAGCTGGTTCCACAGGAGAGGAGCCTGATAACTAAAAGATCTGCCTCCCATCCTAATTTTAGATATTCTGGGAACCACCAGTAGACCTGCAGTCTGAGAGCGAAGTGCTCGGTTAGGAACGTATGGAACAATCAGATCACTGAAGTATGATGGAGCTTGATTATTAAGAGCTTTATATGTGAGAAGAAGGATCTTAAAAGCTATTCTGAATTTAACAGGTAGCCAATGTAGGGAAGCTAAGACAGGAGAGATAAGATCTCTCTTTTTAATTCTCATCAGAACTCTAGCTGCAGCATTTTGGACAAGCTGAAGACTTTTAACTACATTCTGTGGACTTCCTGAGAGCAATGAATTACAGTAATCCAGTCTTGATGTAATAAATGCATGAACTAGTTTCTCAGCATCACTCCTGGAAAGGATGCTTCTAATCTTAGCAATATTCCGAAGGTGGAAAAAGGAAATCCTACAAACCTGTTTAACCTGGGATTTGAATGACATGTCCTGGTCAAATATAACACCAAAGTTCCTTACTTTGTTCTCGGAGATTAATGTAATGCCATTCAGGTCAGGTGATTGACTAAGCAATTTTTTTTTCTGGATTTCTGGTCCAAAGATGAGAACTTCTGTCTTGTCTTGATTTAAAAGCAAAAAGTTTAGAGTCATCCAATTTTTTATGTCCTCAAGACAAGCCTGTAACCTACCCAACCGATTAGGTTCGTCAGGGTTAATGGATAAATATAACTGAGTATTGTCAGCATAACAGTGGACTTTTATCCCATGCTGTCTAATGATTTTACCAATTGGGAGCATATACATAGTAAAAAGAATTGGTCCAAGCACTGAACCCTGTGGTACTCCACAAGTAACCCTGGAGTATGAAGATGATTTGTCATGTACATTTACAAAATGAAATCTGTCAGACAGGTAGGATTTAAACCAGCCTAGCACTGTTCCTTTGATCCCTACAACATGTTCAAGTCTTTCTAAAAGAACATTGTGATCAACTTTGTCAAAGACAGCACTGAGATCTAACAAGACTAGAACAGACACAAGATTCTTATCTGAGGCCATGAGAGTATCATTTGTAACTCTCACTAATGCAATTTCAGTGCTGTGATACTCTCTAAAACCAGACTGAAATTCCTCAAACAGAGCATTAGTTTTTAAATGCTCACATACTTGGATGGCCACTATTTTCTCCAGGACTTTGGATAAAAATGGAAGGTTAGATATTTGTCTATAATTCATTGGGTCATCTGGATCCAGAGAAGGCTTCTTAAGTGAAGGTTTGATTACAGCAAACTTAAAATCCTGTGGTACATATCCATTTACTAAGGATAGATTGATTATATCTAGAATGGGGGCAGTAACCAAAGGAAATGCATCTTTAAATAATTTGGTTGGGATTGGATCCAAAATGCAAGTTGAAGGTTTAGATGAAGCTAATATTTTTGATAACTCTGAAAGCTCAACTGGATCAAAACGGTTCAAGCACAGATGAGGTTCTAGAGTCACCTCTGAAGCTGCCTCACTTACTGAGGAAGAAGAAATCGCATTAGGGAGGATGCTAAAGATTTTGTTTCTAATAGAATTAATTTTACTTGCAAAAAATCCCATGAAGTCATTGCTGCTGAGGGCTAAGGGAATAGATGGTTCAGAGCTATGATTCTGTGTAAGTTTAGCAACTGTACTGAAAAGAAATTTAGGATTATGCTTATTCTCCTCAATTAGTGCTGAGAAATAAGCAGTTCTAGTTTGTCAAAGCTTATTTTTATAAAGCACAAGACTATTTTTCCAGGATAGGTAGGCCTCCTCATGGTGCGTAGAGCGCCATGTTCTCTCCAATTTCCTAGAGTTTTGTTTTAAGGCTCGTAAATGAGAATTAAACCAGGGAGCCAACTTCCTGTCCCTAATTACCTTCTTTTTTAAAGGGGCAACATCATCTAATGCCACACGTAAAGAGGAATTAACATGATGAACTAAGGCATCAATTTGTGAGGGGCTAGAACTGAAAATATTGCCCTCTGCTACATGCCTCTGAGATGCTGAGGACAGTAAAGATGGAACAGTTGATTTAAAAGATGCAACTGCGTTGTCACATAGAGACCGACTATAGTGAAATTTACTTTCATGTCTCGAGAACTCAGTTATAAAAAACTCAAAGGTTATCAGAAAGTGGTCCGAGAGGACCGGATTATGTGGAAAGATCGTTATTTCCTCACACTCTATGCCATATGTCAGCACAAGGTCTAATGTATGATGGCAGGAGTGGGTGGAGCTATGTATTCTTTGAGTAAAACCAATTGAGTCTAAGATATTACTAAAGGCTACATTGAGGCTATCATTTTCAATGACCACATGAATGTTGAAATCCCCCACTACAATGACCTTATCAGTATTTAGCACCAAATCAGATAAAAAATCAGAGATCTGATCCAAAAACTCAGAGTAAGGGCCTGGTGGACGATATAAAACTACAAACAAGAGTGGCTTTACAGTTTTGCAATCTGGATTAGGAAAACTAAGAATAAGATGTTCGAACGAACTGTAGCTGTTAATTGGTAAGGGATTGATTAATAAGTCAGAATGAAAAATGGTTGCTACTCCTCCTCCTCGCCCTGTACTTCGAGCAATATGATGATTTAAATAATTTGAAGGAGTCGACTCGTTTAAGCCAACATAGTCCTCTTGCTGCAGCCAGGATTCTGTGAGAGAGAGCAAAGTGATCTGATTATCACAAAGCAAGTCGTTAACAAAGTCTTAGAAAAAAATGGATCTAATGTTCAACAACCCACATTGAATTTTTCTAGTTTTCTGCTCAGTTGAATTTGTTCTAATATTTATGAGATTTCCATGATTTGCTTTATTAAGCCTGATATTTAATCTGTGTGATTTTGGCCGTGGGCAGGACACTGTCTCTATGGGGTAGTGGGTGGGTAACAGTACAGAAGCTGCAGAGGGGTGGGTTAAACTACGACTCTGTTTCCTGGTCTGGACCCTGGGTAGTCATGGAGGACTAATAAAACTGGCCATATTCCTAGAAAGAAGAGCTGCACCATCCAAAGAGGGATGGATGCCGTCTCTCTGCATCAGACCAGGTTTTCCCCAAAAAGTTTTCCAATTATCAATGTAGCCCACGTTGTTTTCAGGACACCACCTAGACAACCAGCGGTTGAAGGATAGCATGCGGCTAAACATGTCGTCACTGGTTCGATCAGGCAGGGGGCCAGAGAAAATTACGAAACACATCAGGATTACCAGGCTGCACGGTGGAGCAGCAGTTAGCACTGTTTGTTTGTAGCACATTGTGTGTGTGTGTCCATCCGTGTCCAAACATGTGGGTGTCTCTAACTTTTGTTTTTTCTTCTCCAGGTTTCTCCAGTCCCATGTCTCTCCCAGACAACAACACCGTCACCATTGGGCCATCATCAGGCTTCGCCCCTCCCCCCTCTGTTCCAGCCCTTCCTCCCTTCAGCAGTCCTCTGACCACAACCTCTTCTTTTTCCTCCCTCCCTGCTTCTTCGTTCGCCCCACCTTTCACCAGCAGCCCTCCCTTCCCATACTCTGCCCCGCCATCGTTGCCACCACTGGCCTCCTCTGCTGGACCACCTCCAGCACGTGGTCTAGCAGGCCCCCCTGTAAGCCCGCCCATGTCTAGCTTCTCTATGAGTGCTGGCTATGACATCACACGGGGACATGCAGGTCGGACCCCACAGACGCCATTGATGCCTACATTCTCTAGTCCTTCTGTGATCCCAGGTGTGTTTTTATTGCATATCTCCTAAACTTCAGGACAGATTTTACTGAAACTGTCAAGCAAACCTCAAAGTACAAGTGACAAACTAGACATCTACAACTGACAAACTGGAGACAGCCAGATTCAAGATGGCTGCCACAGCAAACATTTAAACATCCCTAACTCAACCTTACAGATGTGTTAGTGGCTGAGAGTGACATCACAGATAACAGATGAGAACATTAGAACTCTGTCGTTCAACAACGAGAGGATTTCACGTCAAACTCCCTGAAAAGTAACATTAGGTTTCCGTCATCAGAAGAAAAACAAAATCATTATTTATCTTCATTAATAATGATCCTATAGTCAACCGGCCTTAACCTCTTCCACTTAGCCGGGGTCGGGTCGCGGGGGCAGGAACCTAAGCAGAGAGGCCCAGACTACCCTCTCCCCAGCCAGCCACTTGGGCCAGCTCCAAAGCGTTCCCTGGCCAGCCGAGAGACATGGTCCCTCCAGCTTGTCTTGGGTCTTCCTTTAGGTCTTCTCCTGGTTGGACATGCCCAGAAAACCTCACCAGGGTGGCGTCCAGGAGGCATCCTGACCAGATGCCTGAGCCACCTCAACCGTCTCCTCTCAATGTGGAGGAGCACCTGGTCTACTCCGAGCCCCTCCCTGGTGACCAAACTTCTCACCCTATCTCTAAGGGAGAGCCCAGCCACCCAGCAGAGAAAACTCATTTAGGCCGCTTGTATTCATGATCTCAGTCTTTCGGTCACTACCCAAAGCTCGTGACCATAGGTGAGGGTAGGAACGTAGATCGACCGGTAAATTGAGAGCTTTGCCTTCCAGTTTTCTCTTCACCACGACAGATCGATACAACGCCCACGTCACTGCAGACGCAGCACCATTCTGCCTGTCGATCCCCTGATCCATCATTCCATCACTCATGAACAATACCCAGAGGTACTTAAACTCCCTCACTTGGGGCAGGACCTCGTCCTTGACATGGGGGACTCAGTAGTTAAACATCAAAGTGAGTATTTACTTGCATTAGGGACGGCAAGTCCAGCAGAATGGTTTCCCTCAGATGAGCAGGAATAGAGATTAATTAACACTATTTACAATGTTTTCTTTTACTCCTACCCATACTCACTCCATACTCTGAGTGTGTCCCACAGGGTACTTCTGGAGACACAGCCATAAGCCTTCTCTAGATCCAAAAACAAACAGAACATGTGGACTGGTTGGACATATTCCCACATCTCCCCAGCACCCTAACAAGAGTAAAGAGCTGGTCCACGGTTCCACAGCCAGGACTAAACACAACACTCCTCCTCAGTCTGACCTTCAACCAGCCGCCTCCGTGGACTCTCCCGTACCTTTAAGTAAACCTTTTCCTGGAGGCTAAGGAATTTTCTGCAGCTGAAACACCTTTTGGTCTACTTTCTCAAAAATGTGGACCACTACCTCCTTGACAGGCACTGCCACTAATGACCATGCTATATAGCAGGCACGTTAGCTAAGACACAACTACAACATCTATAGTCCAGATACCCAGGATGTAGCTTGTCAATGCGTGGGGCTCCACCCACACATAGAGGTTTGACTACATCGCTGATCTCTGCCCAGAGATTGCTCAGTCCAGGAGCCGTACACCTCCTCTTTTGTCTTCTCGAGTTGATTATTTCTATTGTCATATTTTATTTAGTCTCAGTGTAGCTAAGGAACCTCTCATTTGCCTAGGTGTGATGTCCAACACCATGGTTCAGCAACCCATCATGAAAGGAGGAATAGATGCAGAATCTCCCATCACTTTTCCAGAGGACCAGGAGGATCCGAGAGCGTCTGAAGACACCAGTACTGGAGGAGGTCTCTGGGGCTTTTTTAAGGTGACTTCTCTCTCAAACTTCACTTCAGAGAACCTCAATCTCCTATTTAAGCAATAAACAGGGTTGTTCCTTCAGAGGGCTGGTGCTAGAGCTGGTTCTTTAGATTAAAAGTCAAAAACAGAAATGTTTTTCCACGGTCAGGAAGTCAACTCGGAGCCTCATCATTATGTCACAATGGACAACTGTTTCTGCAGAGGATCACGGAGCAGGGAGACAGTTCATCTCCACAGGGTTGATGGCGCATTGCTGATGTAACCCAGCCGACACTAGTCTATTGCTGTTACAGACTTGTTGCTTGTGAAAGCTCTTCTTTGATCTCCAACCATTATTATTTAAACACTGCTGTGGACACCAGCCACTGATGTTTAGAGACAACTAAAATAAACATAACTATAAACAGCGTTTCGAGTTTATGAATTCAGTTGAAAACAGCAACTTTGATGTTCTGTCCCTCTTTAACGACTTCACTGGGGATTTACAACACACAAGCTGCAGGAAGCTAGCTCCGAGGACGGTTTAAACCAGTTTGATGAAAACCACCAGAGAGAACCGGCTCTTGTGTTCTTTCTGAGTCTTCAGACATGACCAGATGATGGCTCACATTGACGCAAAGCTCCACTGATGCTGAACGATACCCAGGACTGGTGGTCTAATCACACCTCTGTGTCCCATGTGTCCCAGGGAGTAGCAGGAAACCCAGTGGTGAAGACAGTCCTGGATAAAACCAAACACTCGGTGGAGTCCATGATCACCACTCTGGACCCAGGCATGGCTCCATACATGAGTAAGCTAACACAAAGCCCTGATCACTGTCTTAAGTGTACTGATGTCTTAAGTAATTGTCCCTGTGTTTCTGCTCTGTAGGGTCTGGTGGGGACATTGATATTGTGGTGGCTTCAGATTTGGAGACAAACGTGGAAGCAATCAGAGATGCCTTCCAGGAAGTGTTTGGGATGGCTCTGGTCACTGGAGAGCCGGGCCAGTCTAACATCGCCCCTCAACCGGTGGGCTACGCTGCTGGAGTCAAGGTCAGCTTGTTGAGGCCTTTCCTGATTCTTTTTGATGTCTCGGAAGCATCATTGTGAGTAGCAATAACTAATGTCTGTCGTGGTGTGTGCTGCTGTGTGACTGTAGCAGAGAAGATCCATCCATCTTAATACAGGGTATCCGGGGGTCCTTAAAAAGTCTTAAATTTGCTTTTCCAAAGGTCTTAAATTACCAAAGACCCAATAAACAAAATTATTTTATTTCTATAAAATTTTCATGAATTTCTAGTTAGTGTTCAGCATTTTTTGGGTATGATATTGGCATAAGCGGAACCGTACACATTCAGTTGGTTGTGAAAGGGGGGCTATTTTTAGATGAGCACATTAGCTGGTTAAACTAGTGGGAGCTTGCCCCATGGGGAAGTGCAAGTTTAATGTTAAACGGATGGTTAATCCCACGTTCGCGACGTGGTTAGCTATAGGGGTTGAACGAAATAGTCGACTAGTCAACTTCACTGCTCTGTAGTGACTTTTTATGTCTTTCATCGACTAGTCGCTGTCACTTGATAATGACCAACAAGATGCAGTCCTCGGAAAAGACAGCAGGTGACGAGCCCCTGCGCGTCGGGAGGCCATGCGCTGTGCCAGAACGTCGGTATCTGACACCCGCCGTAACACGGACATTTGACCGAATTGTGACCTTTACCCTCTTGCAATTTAACCTTCCCCTCACCCCCGTTCTAACCTTAACCAGCTTGCGCATGCAAAGCTCTGATCGTTGACGCGCTCCAGACATCTGCGTCCTGAGCACGGCCACAGTAACATTATCAAATTAGGTGTCGCCACCTCAAAAACAAATTTAACACGCGATCGTTCATGTCGGCTCATTTCCTTTTATGTTTTCTGTCTTTTATTCTTTTATTTGTAACTGATGCGTTTCGCTGCTGCTCCTGTTTTGTCCCCCGGTGATTTCACCCCACTGGTGCGGCCGCCGAGCAGCGCGCAATCCGCTGTTTTTGCGGTCGGTAGATCTTTTAGAACTGCAGTTCAAAGGTAACTCATAAGGTGAATATATATGAAGCCTGGTATCAGTTTCTCTTTAGGATTGAGAGGAGATGCAGGAAGATAATAAACAGGCAGGACAGAAAAATAGTCAAATAAAAACAAGTTAGTTTTTGTACCTGCTGGTGGCAACAAACAGACACCATTGAAGGTAATCAGAAGTGAGGAACAGAAAATGAAATAATTATGTTAATGTTTAGAGCAGCAGGAACTCCGAGAGGCTGCAGGCGCATCATTGAGTTTGCGGCAGCTGCGCAGGGGGAGGGGGGAGAGGGCTGAAGCAAGATGCAGAAACTACCGTTGTTAAAAGAGATGTGTTTAACTTAGAAAATGTGGGCGCAATTTTAATTGTCAAAAACTCCAGTGACCCCCTTCCCCCCGTATGACGTCATCAACGACTAGTCGACTTGATTTTTCATTACTTGATGGTCGACTTTTAAAAAAATTAAGTCATGCAGCCCCTAGTTGGCTCCAGTTCCAGGCAATAGCTGGAAATTATAGCATAAATTGTATTTCAAAAATACCTTAAAGAGCAAGTCACCCCCAAATCAACTTTTTTTTGTTGATAAACCATATAAATGAGTATCTAATCGCTCTGTAGATACGTGCAGTCAATAATTTGACTTAGTTCAAATTCAAATAACCTGCCTAAAACTGTCAGTATTGTCAGGTAAAAACTCTACACTGCATTTTAATTCAAATCTGCCATTGCAATTGGCTAAGAGGTACACTATGACATTCGCTGGTACATTATGATGTCACAATGTCTTTTTGAGCCGGTGTGTGCCTATGTTAGCGGCTCCACCCTCTCGGTCTGCCAGGCAACAGTATTTGTTGCATTTTTCAAACATGAAGTGGGAGTGGAATAAGACTCTGGTAGGGGGTGACTTGCTCTTTAAATTTGGTCAAAGTGGCCTTAAATGTATTAAAAAGTCTTAAAATTGGCTCCCTTAAACCCGATACCCTGTTTATACCACTTGTTTCTGCTCAGGGTCACATAGAGCTGGTGCTCATCTTCAGCGGTGCCTGGGTATTCCTCAGGGACACACACCCAGAGACAGTTTAACATGCATGTATTTAGACTGCAGTACAAAACCAACACACACATGGAGAGAACGTTCTATCTCCATGCAGAATGGTTCTGGTGGGGAGCTGAAGGCAGGACACGGTGCTACCCAAGAAGGACCTGTTCTATAAAACTCAACCAGAACTCAAACTGGAAAGATCCAAAAGCTGCCGGGTCATGTGAGATAGGTCCAGCCTGAACGGAAGAGAAGCACACTTGCAAGACATTACAGAGTGGTTCTTTGCTCTGCAGTACGGTGGGACTGAAGTCCACCGCTCAACAGAGACAGAATCCACCTCAACACACAGCTGGTCCTGCAGGTGATCCCAACAGGTTTTCTGTCCACCTGAGCAGAGACAAGCTGCCAAATCCCAGGAAGGCTGCTGGACCTGATGCTGTTCCTGGATCAGGTCAACTGTCCTCTGTCTCACCTGGGCCGATGGAGACCTGGGTAGACCAGTGCTTTAGGTTCTGGGTTTCATGTATCAGGACCAGGTTCTAGAGATCTAATCTCAAGTCTAGAAAAGCACCCAGCAGATCCACCGTGTTAATCATTAAACAGATAACTGAGGTCTATAGGGTCTGACCTTTAACCTTTAACCTGGTAATCAAAGCCTGTGTGGGTGGTGATACTCAGATCTGAGACATTTTTTTTATTATCACATTCTCTTCTGGTTTCAAGTCCTCCGTGTGACTCCTTCATGTCCACACAGGGACACGCACAAGTCATTTCTCATTTTGGACTTAATGCATGTTGTTCACTTGAAGTTAGATCTTTACCCAAAGTGATCTAGACAGAAAATAAATGTATTTCCACCTGATTTACCTGAGGTCTGATGGTTCCTGTCTGCAGGGGGCTCAGGAACGCATTGCCAGCCTGCGTCGGGCCGGGGTCATCCACCAGAAACAGCCAGTGGTCTCTGTGGAGTTCTTCATTGCTGAGCTGTTTCCTGACAAGTAAGGAGGCCTCAGAGTACACACCGTATACATGGAAGCCATTTTTACTCATAGCTTGTTTAAGGTGATCTACAGAATTAGAAAGATCAAGGCTACTATGGAGTCTGAGAAGAATCCATCACTAAATGCGTGTCTTTTACAATCAATGGCTTGTTCTTACGATGAGACGTGTTGTAACAAATGTCCTATTTAAGAGACGTGTTGCTGTCTCCAGGTGGTTTGACATTGGCTGTCTGATTCTGGAGGACCCTGGTCACAGCATTCACATCGAGGTCTTCACCCAGGCCACTCCTCTGGCTCTGGACCACATCCAGCAGGTAGAAATAAAAAAACCATGAACCTGGAACCATTCTGCTCTCCGTGTTAATGAATCAGAGTAGCTGTTGGTCGTCACCGCCGCTTAAAAACCTACAGCAGTAACAGCTGCTTTGAGATCAGCAGCGGAACCTGTTCTCCTCAGAATCACATGGATGTCACTAATCTGCCCCCTGCAGGCTCAGGCTCTGACCCCTCCTGACTACAGTCTGCGCTGGTCCGGTCTGATTGTTACCGTGGGTGAGGTTCTGGAGCGCAGTCTGCCCAACATCAACAGAGCAGACTGGCACTGGTCCATGACAGGAATGAGCCAACGCCAGATGATCCAGAGTGCAGCCAAAGTTCTGGCAGGACTCTACAGACAGAGGCTGCCCCCCAGGACTCTGTGAGTCCAGATGGATCCGGTTTTGTCACATGGTGGGAGAAGTGGGGACACACAGGACAAAGAGACAGTGGGACTGCCCCATCCATGTAGTTCCTCCCCTTATTTCAGGGTGTTTTTTTTAATTATGTTTCAACAGATTTTATTTTGAGCTGAATCTCTGTTTCCTGAGTTCTGTTATTGTTGCAGACCCTGCCAGGTATCCAGCCAGCCTGGATCAGTCATCATGTGTTTGAAGATGTTGGTTCTGTTTCTGTAACGGTTCTGATTATTGAGTAAAGGAACACCATGTATCTGATGGTCTTCACTGGACTGATGTTACTGGGCACACAGCTGACCCACGTTACACTGAAAGCTCACGATACCAGTAGCACCAGTGACATGGAACAGGTAACGCATCACCAGTACCGTACCACCAGAGAAACCAGTAACATGCTGCTGCCAGTTCCAAATTTCTACCTTTCCAAATATTTTCTAGTGACTGTCATCATGTTACTTTGTTCTTATCTGTAAATAAAAATTAGAAAGTATCACACTTTTGTCATAGTGATGAACTTCAAAGATGTGTGTGTGTGTGTGTGTGTGTGTGTGTGTGCATGCGTGCGTGTGTGTGTGGGGGAGATATGGATGATCGGTTTTCTCAGGAAGACCTGATCAATCAAAGCTCTCCTCAGGATTCCAGGGATATCTTTGTCCCTGAGTGGTTTCTATCGGATCCTGAAGAACAGGTTTAACGGGCTGGTGTTTTGGAAAATAACAAACAGATGAGTTCAAATGGTTCATGCAATGTCGCTGCTCCTAAAAACATTTTAGCTTCTTCCATTAATTTATCGTTATTTCCTGCTGCACGATGATGCATTTGACTTAGATTTTCATCTGATCTGCTGGTACTGCTTACAAAACAAGAGGTCACCTTTACGCCCCTCATGTTTCCCAAGCTTGTTAACATTTGAGTCAAGGAATGATGAATTTATGGGTCTACGTTTTGAGGTGTGATAACCTGCTGCTTCATCTCTAATCCACTTCCATTCTGAATTCTTACAAAGAAAAAGAAAAACTTCAGAAAACAAAACCCCACTGGTGTGGATGTTTTTTAGGTCATAACACATCCTATCTTCCTGGCAGTTGAAGCAGACAGAACAGTTGATCCGGGGTTGGGGTTAGGGTTTAAATGTTTAAATACAATTCTGAAAGTCATAAAACACATTGGAACTATTTTACATCCATCCATTTTCCCCTGCTTATCCAGAGTCGGGTCGAGAGGGCAGCAGCCTAAGCAGAGAGGCCCAGACTTCCCTCTCCCCAGCCACTTGGGCCAGCTCCTCCAGGGGAATCCCATGGTGATCCCTGGCCAGCTGGGAAACAGTCCCATCAGCGTGCCCTGGGTCTGCCTTTGGGTCTCCTTCCAGTTATTTAGACATGCCCAGAAAATCCATCCTAACCAGATACCCGAGCCACCTTGATATTACTTCACCATTGAATTCACATAGCAAATAAATCCTGAATAGGTTCTCCGTATTGTGCTGTCATGATGTCCTGGAGGATATAATTCTGTAATTTAAATTTCCTTTATGAGCCTAACCCAGACATATTCATGCACTTTCAGCTTTTCTTTTGATGAACAATTATTATTTTAACCCTTATATAACCCTTTAATTTTCTAATGTTTTTGTCCTTTCAGCACAAAAAAAATGCACTAAAGGCTTATAAGGGTTAAGCCACAGAACATTGAAAATGGTTTTTAAACCACAAATATTTTTTATGCTAGATTTAAAATTCTAATTCTAAACCAAGTTCAAAGACATAGAAGCAGCTTCGGTCTGATCACCGGTTTTGGCTCAAACTGAACTAAAGCTAGTACGTAGAGGTTTTAATATTTTTTAATATATATTTACAGATTTTATACTTCACGTTGCAGCACGAAGATTATGTTAATGAAAAGCTAATAAATTTATAAAATATTAAATTGTAAAAAGAAACTTAACCAATTTTCACTATGTTTGATGTGGATTCTCAGGACATCTATTATTTACCCTTTCTCCCACTGGGACGAAAAAACCCTTTTTCAAGGAAGATATGCAATGTGTTAACCAGAAAAATCCAGTTGTTATCAGTTAAAACGCTCAACAGTTGTTTGATTCTTTAAAATGCTCACTGAGTTTTAAAACAATTAAAATCAGGTCTAAGAATCTCACTGAGGACATTGTCTATTAAAAATACACAACTTAATTTTTATTACAGTTTTTCTCGATTGGTTTGGCTCATTTCCTGAAACCGAGATGACATTCACAAAATAACATGGACAAATCTCCAAACCACCTTGCAATTGTTCACAACAGAATGTCAGTTTTCATTGGTTTAATCAAATTGCAAATGCTTTAGTACATGTCTCAAGTGACTCTGTGCTTCTTTTCAAATGATTATGTACAAGTAGCTACAGTTAGCACAATGAGCCCACATTTAGCACATTTCCCAAATAAATAGATCTTGCCAATCTAAACTGATTAGTTGATTTGTCAGTGAAATGGTCACTCACTCCACAACATATCAGCATGGTTTCATTGTGTAAGTCATCATATGCACAATTGTCTGTTCAACTGTCAAAATTAATCAAAGATATAATACCATGAAAGAATATCTTGGAACATTTGATAAAGTTATGACAGTACTTGACAATCAATCAGGTGAAATTAGAACTAACGAAGGAGCAGCCTCCCACATCACAGATGACCAATCAAACAGGTTGTTCAGTTACCTGACAGGTGTTGTCTATGATCATGACTGCTGCCAAAAGTATATAGACAGAGCTTGGCCCGGGGCCAGTTTCATTTGCAGTGTGAACATGGAAGCACCTCGCCAAGTACAACAGCAACTTCCTGCTCGAGGAGGAAGAAGAAGAGGAAGAGGAGGAGTGAGAATGCGTGGAGGAATAGGGGGAAGAGGCAGAGGAGCACGGAGGCACCATGATGTCCCAGAAGAAATCCGGGCCACCCTTACTGACCATGTTATAAACCATAGCCTCACAATGGCAGAGGCAGGTCGCCGAGTGCAGCCTAATGTGGCTCGGTCTACAGTCTCCTCCATCATCCAAACCTTTCGCAGGGAAAACTGGTACAGAACTATGCTATTGAACTATTCAGTGTTGGTGTGTGTGTAGGCCTAGTGTACTGTAATATCGTCATGTGATGTTATATGATACTATAAAAATGACAAAGACAGAAAAATGGAGAAAATACTGTGAATAGTATTCCAGTCACTGTGCAGTGCATCACACTTCTGGTACCATAGGACAGCAGTACAGTTACAGTGGTAACTCATTTTGTAACACATTTACAGTGTTGACCTTTGACTTGTATGTCTAGGATTGGACGACAGCCTCAAGTGGGTGGCAGAAGAAAACTTCTAAATGAACAACAAGAACGAGAAATATGCAACATGGTCATTGCAAATAATGCCATCACACTGAGACAGATTCGTAATGCAATCCTGCTAGACAATGTAATGTTCCAAAATACGAACTCTATCAGCATCTCCACAATAGACCGGGTATTGAAGAAACATCAGATGACCATGAAACAGATTTACAGGGTACCATTTGAGAGAAACTCTGACAGAGTGAAAGGGCTGCGGTACCAGTATGTGCATGTAAGTCAACTACTGGTTGTCTATCATTGTAACACTATTACAATAAGACATGGTTACCACTGTTTTCTTGTTTTGCGGTATCCTTTTCACCTTCAGAATGCAGCTTTGTGTGACTAGAGCATTTTGCCTAGAAATTGTCGTCAGTGTCCCACTCCCTGTTTGTACAGTAATTCAGATCCTCCCTGCAGTATCTGTCTCTACTTGACTGATTAGATTTATTTCTATTCTATTGTAGAGAATAATGGCATTAGAAGGCAACGACACCCCTCACATCCTAGTGTTCGTTGATGAAGCTGGCTTCAACCTGGCCAAAGGTCGAAGGCGTGGCCGTAACATCATTGGCCACCGAGCCACTGTGGATGTCCCAGGCCAGCGAGGGGCAAATATAACAATGTGTGCCGCTATATCAGAAAGAGGTGTGGCCACACACATTCCCAGTTTAGGGCCCTACAATACACAAAAGCTCCTCAATTTTTTGGACCACCTTTATACTGATCTGATCCCAGAAAATGAAAGAGGTGTAGAAGGACCTCAGCTACCACATTATGTCATTGTGTGGGATAACGTGAACTTCCACCACGGCCCATGCATCAGAACCTGGTTCACCACCCATCCCCGGATGCTAATGGAGTTTCTTCCACCTTACTCTCCTTTCCTAAATCCAACTGAGTTTTTTTTCAGCTTGGAGGTGGAGGGTGTATAAGCATCAGGCTCAAGACCAGAGGGCCCTGCTGCATGCAATGGATGTTGCATGTGAGGACATCACAGGGGATCAATGTAGGGGATGGTTGAGACATTCACGCCGTTTCTTCCCTCGCTGCATCGCACGAGAAAATCTCTGTTGCGATGTGGATGAGAATTTATGGCCTGACAGAGAGCAGCACGTCGATGGCCAGGAGGATGAGGATGGTGGCCAGGAAAGAGAGGGTGACAATGGCGACCACTGAAAATATTACTGTACTATAGTTCTGAAACCTTATTTACAGTATGGTAGGCTAGAGTTGTTTTTGTTTTTTGTTTTGTTTGTGTTTATAACTGTTCACATTTACAGAATCCTGTATGTTTTCTTTTCACAGTATGTTCTCTAATGTTAACATTTCTTTGTACGAATGAAAATGTTTACAGTTTCCTTGAATACGAGTGGTTAATTGGAGGCCGATTTTACTGTGAAATCTATTGGTTTTATTCATAGTGGTATTCTGTTGCTAGACATGTGCCTCAGTGACACAACGTCTGAGCATTTTGACTTGTAGCGCTTAAACAATGCCAAAGGTATAATGCATTTTGGGGGCATTGACTATTTATATGGGAAGGATATTTAGTTTTGACACATGGATAAACTCTTTTGGGAGAGAAATGAGCTTTTGCAGGGGATCCATGGTGTTGTGCTAAGCCATCCAGGTTATTTTGACAAAAGCACTAAATGAATGCACATGTGCCAAGGCAATTGAGAAGGATCTGTGCTATTTTGACTGTACTGACCTTTTCTATGGGAAAGGAATCTGCTTTTGAAGCATGGACGAAGAGTTTGGGGAAAGATATTTGATTTTGCTAGTGAGCTATAATGTTGGGCAGCACTGTCAGACTGCTTGGCCAAATGACCTTATGGTTTTGGGAATGTCATCTTGGTTTCAGGAATAGAGCCAAACCAATCGAGAAAAACTGTAATTATTGTCTTATTCATACATTTTTATATTATTGTATTATTTTTAAAGAACATGAGATGGTAACACTTTAAAATAACGGTTCCTTAAGTAACGTTACTTAGTGCATTATTGAGCATTAACAAACTGTTAAAAAGAGTATTAACAACTGCTTACTATTATGTAAAGCATTACTAAGCAGACACACGCCAGCCTTTCCTGGGATCCAGATTACCTCTTTCTTATTTATTTTTCTCATTACCTTTCCTCACATTTTTATCACAATATTAAAATTTCTCATTCTTACATTTTTTAAATCTTATTTTTAATAGTATTTTTGTTCTTGTGATTTTTGTCTTGAGATGTGCTTCATAAAAGATTCTTTCTTTCTTTCGAAAAAGAAGAAAGAGAGAGAGAGAGAGAGAGAGAGAGAGAGAGAGAGAGAGAGAAAGAAAGAGAAAGAAAGAAAACGATCTTTTATACAGCGCCTCAAGATAAAAATCACGTGGCGCTTCACATAAACAAAATAATAATAAAGGAACCCTCTGTTTATTAATGCGTAATAATGCATTTAAAAGGGCATATGTACAAAGGAAGCACATTATTTTTGAACAAAAAAACTACAAATTGCGCAAAAGAGCATGGATGATTAAGCACAGGAAATACTTCAGAATTGGAAAAATAAAAAGGACACAACACATGCTAAAAGTGAAAAATTCTACATATAAATGTACGAGGACAGACAGTGATTCGTGTAGATTAAAAAGAAATGTTTAAATTGCTTGTTGACTCATTCTTAACCAACTTCAGGGACTTTGCAATTAAATTAATTTCTCCAATTTGTACGATTTGGTTTAGTTTAAAAATGAAACCAATGAATCATAGAATCTACTTGTTTCAAAATAAAAGCACCAAACATATCATCAAGGCAGATTCTACCTGCCAGAATTGGCCCCCTGTCTACTATACAGGGAGGAAGCATTGGCATGGCTGTTCCCAAAAGTCGAACCGACTCACAGTTTAGAAAAACAAATCGTCCTAAAAATCTCTGGTTTTCACAAAATATGCGTCCTTGTAACTTCTTGATTTTCAAATAGACTTTTTCGAACCTTGAAATGTAAAACTTTAACCTTGAGGGATAGGGCGAGGCCTTTTTCTTATCTTAATAAGGTTATAAAATTAATGACGTCTTCTAGAATTCATTCATGGATTTATTCTAACAGTCCAACGGGACACAATGGAGAATTCATGTTCAGCCGATTTTGAACATTTAAGATGTTGCTTGTTATTGTAACCTTAATGTCCCGTTAAAACAAAAGGACACGTACTTGAACCGCACTGTCTGATTCGAAATGTTTTTGGTGTGCCCCGGTGTAATTTTCCAACGTACCATAAAGTTGAAGTTGAAAGCGCATTGCGTTGCGCTCTCCTATTGGCTACGTACAAACAACGTAACGTTTTCAATAAGCCGCCATATTAGGAAGCCAACCCCTTCTTTCATTCGGTTAAAACGGACGAGATTCACTTCTAGGCCTCTGTTTTCAAACGACGGAGTCAAAACAGAGTCAGGCCGCCTTGACAAACATCCCGTTTACTTGCTTACCCGGTGTGTTTACAGCTCTGAGACAATGGCGACTACGACTGCTACTCCGACTAGCCACAAAGGGGGCACGTGCCGCGGCGGCACACCGCTGAGCCCGACTCGGATAACTAGACTACAGGAAAAACAACAGCTCCGGGACCTGAACGACCGCCTGGCAGTTTACATTGATAAAGTCCGCAGTTTGGAGTCCGAAAACGAGGTTCTCCACCTCCAGATCAGTGAGAAGGAGGAGGTGAGGAGCCGGGAGCTGAGCGGAGTGAGGAGCCTCTATGAGACGGAGCTAGCCGACGCTAGGAGGTCTCTGGATGATTCCTCCAAAGAGCGGGCCTGGCTCCAGATTGAGCTCGGAAAGATCCGGTCCGAGCATGAGCTGCTCCAGCAGAAGTAAGTTTCAGTACTGCGGTTCGGCGTGCAGCCACAGTTACCATCATCTGCTGTCCTAACTGAACTTCAAAATACTCGTGTTTTTGTGTGTTGCTTTGTTTAAAGCTGTAACCATCAAATGTCTCAGATGTCTGTGATGAAACCAATCACAGATAAAATGGTATTATTATCAGCAGCGAGGTAAATGTGGGCACTCTTCAGAAGAGCATCAGGACTAAAGTCCTGAACATAAGGGGACATATGTCTCCATGGCAGCTGTTGACTACAGGACACCTGTTTTAAAGAAGTTCAAGTCTGTTCTGTTTTCCACAAGTTCTACTGATATTTAAACAGTTACTGTTAAATTTTCTACTGTGTGTGTTGGGGGTACCAGATTTTTGCAATTGTTTAAAGTCATGTGACAGCTGAAGGCATGCACCGTCACAGTAGTGGGATAATTGTTACTACCTGCAGATGAGATTAGTCCCCCCGCACACACCTCCAGCGGCTTGTTGATAAACTCACTTCAACACAAAGTAATCTCACAAATACAATTGCATGTCCAGCTGCCACGCTACACAAAACGCAAAGAGATGAGAGAAAAGTTCAGAGACTATTAGGTTTCTTTAAAAGCTGCAATAGAAAATTTGGAAAGCAAATTAGCTATGATCTAACATACATATATATATAATTATAATAAAGCGATTTTCTTGCATTTGTCCCAAACCCTCCGCCAATAAGATTGAAAGCAACTGTTGGACCATGTTGTCGGTCTTGCTGAGCCTTCGCGCTTCCTTGGGTTCTCAATTCATTGCACACTTGTGTATTTAGCAACAGAACTCCACTGGTGTGAGAGGTTCTCCGCTCGGTAGTATCAGGAGAAACAGCCGGCTGCTACCACTTCAATTTTAGGACAAACTACCTAAAAGTCCCAACAAGGCAAACACCATTTGAAGTACTAACAAAAGACGTTTGGACCTACAAAATGGCGACTAGAGTTTAGCAGTATCAGCTTTTTTGCATCGTGGGTTTCCGGTTCCGACAGAAGTGTCTCAGGGGAAGATACGGTTCGGTGACCATGTTTGCATTCAAAACCTAGCTTGTTCTATAGATTTGCTATAACGGCTTTAATATGCATTTGAAATAGCTTTATAATTGGTTGGAGTTTGACACAAGTGCAGTTTTAATGTTTTATCTTTAGCAACACAAAGTAAAGTTGTGGATTAAACAAAAATTATTACTTTAAATAGAATAAATTAATCAGGATAAAATTGGTAACGTAATGTAAATATCATAAACGTATTTATTCACAATAAGAAATTTGAACCATTCTGGATGCTTTTTTTTTCCCAGATCAGAATTTGTTCTATGTCAACAAGCAATACGTCAAATTTAATAATCGACGCCGTCCTAAATAAGCTTTGTTTTTCTCTTCAAAATGCTGCTGTACAACCTGCTGTCGCCTGCCTTTCTCCCCTTGATGTACATGTGCAGTAGTGGCACTTGGGGTCCGCTGTAGCGTCACTGGAAAAGCTCGAACAACAACAGCAAGCCAGCAGCAGAGCTGGAAAGGTGGAGGTATTTTATTGAAGGTTCAGGAGAAGAATGTATAAAATCTGCTAGGTAGAAGGTTCCTTCCAATGCAGATTGACGGTGATTCACAAACATCAGTTCCATTTGTTTTTGTTTTTTATTTATGCTTTTGCAGGACATGTTTGGGAGAGCTTCTCAAACATAGTCGTCTCAAAGATTTTTGGGATGCAAAGGTGATAGCAAAGGACTCATTTAAGGGATTTTAAGCTCCTGAGATATTTGCTTTTTTTAATCTTTCTAGAAGTTTTAAGAAATGTATTTGTCTGGTGTTGTCATTGATGCTCCGCATTTATTACTAAAAGTATGTAACACTGTCATGAACTGCTGCAGAATCTTTTAAAAGGTAAAGCTGTCTGGTATTTCTGTGGCAGGATCAGAATTTCTTAGATGGGTAAATGGCTTTCAAGGTGCTCAGAGGGACATCTAGGGCTTAAGCTTTCAGACTGATTTCCTCCTTGGTTGATTAAAAAATAAATCCATGAGTGCAATCAGATGTTCCGTTCTAATTGAATATTTAGACTGATTGGAACATGCTGAAAATTAGACTAAGTCTTTCTCTGTTGCCTTAGTTGCTGCTCTAGCTGTAACCATTTGCAGGGCAGGAGTTTGGTCTAAACCTGGTTTCTGCATTTGGGACCTGTAGTTTATTTAGACACACACACCCTGGTCCACACAATTGACTCAGACAGGAAGCTGCCGTGCTAAAACAAACAGTGATGATGACCACAATAGACGTTCAGAACCAACACTGATACAGATCTACTCCCATTCATGCTCCCAGTACAGCATGGTGCTTTTCTTGATCCTGCTGTGTTAACTGGGGTTACAGCTGTGTGCAGAGGCTGTACTGCAGGTCCTCTTTATGAACTGCTGCCTTCAGCTTTGTACGGAATTATCCAGAACGCCATGCAGCGTTCTCCTGTTGGGCTCAGATGTTTTGCTGCAGCCCTACAGGGAACAGCTGAAGGACAAATCCTAAAAGCTGTCCTGTTAAAAGCCACCTGTTGTTTCGGTCACCTGCAGTCTGCATCGTTATCCAGTAGAGGGGGCTCTAAAGCATGATTTCATGTTTACTGTTCTCAGATTTTTAAAAAATATTCTGTTTGCTAAATCAGAGCTAGCTTTCTAAAACAGCATTTCAGATTATAACTTGTGAAGAAGAGGCGGCGCTAACACGAGGGTCTTCCTCCTCTTGCCAGCTATGCCAGGAAGGACTCTGAGGCGGCAGGAGCCCAGGCCAGGCTCAGAGACCTGGAGGCTCAGCTGAACTCTAAAGATGCCCTGCTGGCTACAGCGTTGTCTGAGAAGAGGGCCCTGGAGGCCTCACTGGCTGAGCTCCAAGAGCAGCTCCAAGAGGTACAGCCCTAAAGAAATCTTGTTTTTGAAATTACTGTTATTGAAATTCATTCACATTCACAACTGTGCCTTGTCTTTGTCAGCTGGATATAGGTCTTGCTCAGGCCAAGAAACAGCTCGCAGATGAGATGCTTATGCGTGTCGACCTGGAAAACCGTTGTCAGAGTATGACTGAAGAAATGGAATTCCAAAAAAATATACATGCTGAGGTGAGGTTAAGAATCACGAACTGGTTGGCCTAGCAACTTGTGTAAATGTTCTACATGTACTTGGTTCCAACGTTTAAACTAAGCTGCCAGGATGCCTAGATAAAATACCCACACTTGTATAGCGCCTTTCAGTCAGGACTCCAAAATGCTTTACACGACAGTGTATCACTCACACTGATGGCGATGAGCTACATCTGTCAGAGGTGAGGCTGCGTTACACATTCACTGGTCCTCCTGACAATGGCCGAACGATTTTAGGAAAAGATTGAATTGCGATTTTTCTATCAGAAATTGCGATTTAAGTTCAATTCACGATTTTCCGCAAATTATGGTACAACACTAGCCTGTCAAGCCATCCTGTAGATTAAGTGAAAAGATGGTCTAGATTCTAATATATTACAACAAATCATTCACAGTAATATTTACTATTTAATCATACAATAGAAACAGGTAAAGCTATTCATATTTTCTCCCATTATTATATATTTTTAAAATTTTTATGTGCTTGTGAAGCAACTTGTGATTTTTATTTAGAGAGGTGCTTTATAAGAAAACATGTTCTTCTTTTAATCTGAAAATGCAAGGAGGAAATCTGAAGGTAGAAACAGCTTTCAAATAGGGCTGCTCAATTAATCGAATTTTAATCACGATTACGATCTGAGTTTTGAACGATTATAAAAAACAAAACAAGCCGATTATTTGCTCCTCCCGCCTGCGCTGCCCCGAGTTGCAAATGAAGCGCTCCTCCCACAGTGTTGCCAATTTAGCGACTTTGACGCTATTTCTAGCAGCTTTTCAGACCCCCTTCTTGACTTTTTAACTTAAAAGTATCTAGTGAACACCTCAGAAACATCTCTGGTAACCCTTAGCTACTTTCTGGATAACTATCGTCGACGTTTCCTGCAGGTTAGCTAAACACCGCCTGCTCTCCGGACCGTTCTTCAGGACATTAGGAAAGGGAATGATGTAGCGATGTCGGTCGCTAAAAAAACAGCTCTCGGAGCCGGCTCCTTGTTGGAGCAACCAGTGAGTGACACACACACCGCACCTGCGGACTCCTGAGCCACTAAAAACGGCTAAATGTGCGCGTGCGGCGCGCTAAACACACGTGCAGCTTGCCCCGATTGCTGTGAGACCGGGTTGGGGGTGGGGGGTGCAGCTGTGGTTGGGACAATTATTACATTAACTGATGGACTTGTAAATAAATAGTTTATAAATAAGGTAGAAATAAGTTCCTCACGCTGATAAATAATAACTAATCTCTCTGAGGATACGGTGCTAGTGCATGCTCCTACAGCACCTTGACACGACTAAATACGTATTATGCAATTTTTTGTGAACATCAATTTATTTGCATGTATTTGTTATGAATGCCACTGTATAATTCTTGCTGTCAGTATTTGCAAGATATTGGTATTTGGGTCTGTACTGGTTAGACTTAAATGAGTTAAACCAAGGTCTATAGCCCTTGGGTCATAAACTATGAGCTATAAGTATATTGGTCTTTTTATACTGGGAATCAGGAGTTATTTTAGTGATCATCTTGTTTCTTATTTTCGTCCTGATTGTGCCCTGAGCAATTTTATGACTGAATAAAAACAAATAAAATCAACATAAATTGAAAAATCGTCCTAAATAATCGTGATCTCAATTTCAGTCACCATAATCGTGATTATTATTTTTGCCATAATCGAGCAGCCCTACTTTCAAATGTATCAAATAACAAATAATGCTCACAGTTTTCCCTGCATCACCAAGGCAGGCTGGCTGCACGTTTTTCCTCACTAAACTCTGTTATAAAACCTAGCTTATGCTGCGGTCAGCTCCGTCAGAGAGACGCACTGGCATTGAAAGAGACACTCTGACACGTTAGCCTGTTTGAATTAACGTGCTCCATCAGAAACATTCAAACCATTTTTAAAAGAAGTTGAGCTTTCAAGTACCTAAAGTGCGCGACTCCGCACTCGCGCTGATGAAGCATAAACCAAGCTGTAGAAATCAGCCTGAACCTGCTCCGATGTGGGAGGAGTCTCTCTCTTCCCCACTCAACTACATCCCCCACTCACCTACGTTTTATCTCACTCTCCCACACTCACCTACGGTGCCATTATTGTCGGCTCTTGCAGCGCTGTGTGTGGAAAAATAAAACAGAAAATAACTTGCAACTCTGTCAGCTGTGGAATTGGGCTCGGCTCTGGACAGTAAACCCCACCCCCTCCACTGCGCTGGCTGTTGCCACCACACACGGGGAAACCCCGGATGTTACACAACAGATCCTTGATCAGTCAAAATCGCTAAAACCGCAGCTTTGACGGTCACGTGATTGTGCTGTTTGAAATCACGAGTTCGGTCCAAAATCGATAATCGTTCAGCCCTACTCCTGACCACCACCAGGAGGGTGAAGTGTCTTACCCAAAGACATGTCTGATGTGACTGGGAGCCTGAGTTTAAACCTGACATTTACCAATGACCACTGTCGCCGTCACAGCATGAAAGCTGATTTTTACTTTTCTGTCAGCTTGTGTGGAGTTGCGCACACATCTTGACAGAGATGATTGCTCTTTGGACTTCTCTGTCACATGGGGAGTTTTGCAAAGCAATTCCTTGCCAGGACAACAGAGGGTGTAGCAGTTCTGTCATGTCTATTTACTGTTGTGTTTATGTATTTCAGAGACTTTCAGAGTATAAACCAGCTCAGTGGCCTAGTGTATTAGTTTCTGTCCTGAGACTGTGGGTTTAAATTCACAGTTGGATCATACCAAAGACTTTTAAAAATGGGACTCCTCACTTGACACTCAGCATTAAGGGGTTTGATTAGGGGGTTAAACCACCAAATGGTTCCCAAGCATGGACATGTCTGCAGCTCAACGCTTCCCCAGCTATGTTAATGTTTTGTCTTAAACTTATTGTAACTACAGAGACTGGATACTCCAAAGTACTTCTCAAAAGATTAGCATCTATCGGCATTAGTCACACATCCCTAGCCTGGTTCACCTCATACATATCGTACTCAGTTCATTCAACTTCAATCTCACTCTTCTAGCTCTTCCCCGGTTACTGCAGGAGTTCCCCAAGGTTCAGTTCTAGGCCCTCTTTTATTTATCATCTATTTGCTCCCCCTTGGTTACATTTTCCGCAAATACAACGTTGATTTTCACTGTTAAGCAGATGACACCCAGCTGTACATTTCCTCCATTCCAAATGCATCCCTTCCACCAATCTCCCTCTCTGTCTATCTGAAATTGGATCTTGGCTCTCTCAGAACCTACTTAAACTAAACAGCAATAAAACGGAACTCCTACTCATTGGCGCCGCTTCTGTTTTAAAAAATTCTCCCAACTTCTCTATCAATATTGACGACTCCACAGTTCACCCATCCTTACAGATAAAAAGTCTTGGTGTCATACTAGATGGTACACTTTCATTCCAATCTCACATTAACCATGTTACTCGAGTCGCATATTACCATCTTCTCAATATCAACAGACCCCGTCCTTTTCTCACGCCTCATGCTGCTGCAGTCCTCGTTCATAGTCTCATCACCTCTCGCGTTGACGTCGTGTAATTCCCTTCTGTTTGGTCTCCCAACTAAATCCCTTCATAAACTCCAACTTCTCCAGAACTCTGCAGCACGCATCATTACTGGGACCCCCTCAAGAAATCACATCACTCCTGTTCTTAAAAACCTACACTGGTTGCCAATAGAAACCAGGATCATATACAAGATCCTACTACTTGCATTTAAATCTGTACATACATAGCATGGCTCCACTTTATCTATGTAATTTACTAACTATTGCTACCACTTCCCGATCTCTTAGATCCTCATCTGCACTTCATCTGGTTCAACCTCAAGCTCGCCTTACCACCATGGGGAGCAGAGCTTTCAGTTGCTCTGCTCCACGGCTCTGGAGCTCACTTCCCTCTGCCATTAGAAATACGGACTCTCTTCCATTATTCAAGGCACACCTCAAAACCCACTTATTCAAACAAGTTTATTCCCTTTAGACCTAGACTTAAGAATTGTTTCAAATTTTTATGTATCTTGTTTGTTCTTATTTCCCTATCTAACCTCTGTTGTTTTTATCTTTGTAAGGTGACCTTGGGTTTGATAAAGGTGCCCTCAAATAAAATGTATTATTATATTATTATTATAAAGTGTAATCAGGAAACCTCCCTGGGCCTTTCTGGGGAAAAACTAAGCACATCACATGGAAAAATCCAAACCACCATCCTTATATCCACCAGTCAGTTGTTACAAACCCTCTTAATTTACTTCGTAACATTGTGATGATTTCACTCTTCTTCAGGAGGTCAAAGAGGCCCGGCAGCGGTACGAGACCCGACTGGTGGAGGTGGATTCTGGACGGAAGGAGGAGTATGAATATAAACTGACTCAGGCTCTGGCTGACATGAGGGCCCAGAACGAGGAGCAAATCCTGATCTACAAGGACAGCTTGGAGAGCACCTATAAAGCTAAGGTACCACCATCGACATCTATACTGGAATTTTGGGGGCTTGGGTAACACACACACACACACACACACACAGAGGATTAGAAGGCGTTAACACAGTAATCTGTGAGATCTAAGATAAACACCAACATTAGTACAGAATAAGATCCAAGAAATTCTTGGGCCACGCCCACACTTTCATTCTGAGTAGTAAACATGTTTAAACACAACTATTGTTACAGCAAAATAAGAACAACGCAAACTCACTTAATTCAGCAGATCTTTCACCAAAGGACACACGTACGTACGTACGTACGTCTATGAGGCCAGGGCTGATTCTAGAAATTCAGTAGTACTTTAGTGATTCTGAGAAATAGATAATTGAAATTGTTGGTTACCCAGATCTGTGCTACATCAGCTGTTGTCATCAGATCCATTATTCTTATGTTGAGCTCCACTATTTCAGTTATCGCTCAGCTATTGAAAACCTTTTTCATAACTTCAATATTTATGTGAATAAGTTCTCAATGATCAGATGCCAGATAATTCCAACAATGGGATGTCAGGGAGTTTGACTTATTGGCCTCTCTTTTTTTTTTTTTTTTTTTTTTTTTTTTTTTTTGATTAATGAAAGAAATTACCTGAAGGTCCTTGATTGACAGCTTGAGAACAACAAGTTGTTTTTAATCCAAAACTTTGTTCTTTAGTGACAATCGTTGTGATTCTGGATCAGTCTGAAAGCAGGTTCTGCCCAATCTTTCAGAAACTTTCTGACAACACGTTCTAAGTCAGTCAGCTCCTGGTTGTTCTGCTGTGTTTGGATTTAAATGTGATGGAGTCTGGAACTAGGGCTGGGGGTGAACGATTATTTTTAAAACTATTATTCTGACAATTATTTTATCGAATAGTCGACTATTCTAATGGCTATTTAGACGATTAATCTAACGATTATTTTTCTATTGCACAATTAATAAAAACCAGAAAATCTCAAATAAATTCCTCAACAAATTTGATAAATTGGTACTGTAAGAAAATAAACACTACAGGCCTTCCATTTTGTATAACACTGCTTTTATTGTGTTGCGGTTGGTTATGTTCTGGCGACGTGTAGAACTTGGAAGTGCATGCTGCTGCCTGAGAGGTGGTTGGAGACGGAGCGTCTCTATTGGGCCGTTCCCATCTGTACCTGGTCGGCCGTGCCCGGATAGCTCCAGTCGGCCCCAGCCTGGCCCGGTTGATTCCACACATCCTTGCTTAGGTATGCAAGGAATGCAGTCAGAGACATTTTCAGCTTCTAGGTAATCACCATGATAATGAACTGAGCATGCCTTAAGCCCATATGAGCTGATTCTACCCACCAATCAGAGGCTTGCTCTAATGGAAGGTGTGAACTTATCAGCAAGCAGTGGGTGTGTTGGCCCTGGTCAGCCTGAAGCAGACCACCTCAGAAAGAGTGCTGAAAAACAGTCTCATTCCACCCTGAAAAAAGGCAGGCCACCAAGATTTGTAAGCAAGATGTGCTATCCGGGCCGGGCCGACCAAGTACAGATGGGAATGGCCCATATGCTGCATTGTTTTGGTCACTTATGTGCGTGAGGCGAGTGGTGGTACGACCCTTCCTGGGGAGTTTGGCTTGTGTGAAAAAAGGAAGGAACAATAACATGGGATTTAAAAGTTAAAATGATTATAAGGTTTATTTACAACAACAACAAAAAAACATAAATCTTTCCATCCTCAGGTTGGGAATAATAAAACTAATTCTGCCTGTGGGGAATTAAAACAAACTGGGCAAAGATTACAGGGTTCTGGACCAAAATAAGGATCTCCAAAGGTCCAAACTCTAAACTGGGCGGTTAAACCAAACTCAAGGTGATATTTTACACTAAACCGAAAACCCACGACACTCTAATTGTAATAAAAGAGAGATCTACACCACAAAAAGGATGAACTCGAAACCAAAACATAACGGCTTGTCCAAATGCAAGAAGCTGTTAGCGAAAATGCTAACAAGCTTTACCAATATTAAGTTCAAGTTACCAAGTTTAAATAAATCAAAAATACCCAGCAGCAAACGGACCAGCACGGAGGAGAGACTGCTACCACAAAAAACAGCTCTCCTAATGTCTGAAAGAAGCTCCTTTTATGAAGGGAGAAACGCTCCGGGTGATTTTCTGCATCTGTGGTGGAGGCAAAGCAGCGCATCTGACCCCGGAAGTTGTTGTCCGTTGTCGGGAGACAAAGGTGGGCAAAACAGGAACGGAATCTAGTAGCGGACGGACGTTGTTCCGGGTCTTCAGTATCTGACGGAGATGTTAGTGAAGGTGGAGAAGAGGGCGAACTAGAGGTAAAACAGGCAGATTCCTCCTCTAATTACAAACTCCTGGGGATGCAACAAGTGGGCGTGGTCCATCGACTACCGGATCTGATGTTGACGAATTTTTAGAATCGAGCCGTCAACGTCATCGACGCTTCGCTACAGCTCTATCTGGAACATCAGCCCCCACATCTTTATCATAACAGTCTATTAAGACTTTAAGGGTCCTGGTTGTTCTGCTGCTGATGGAGGCTGTAATAAATTGATTAGCTCATCAGTTACTTGAGCAGCGTTCGGTGGAGTCGTCGTCGTCTTCCTCGGCTTATCCGGGTCCGGGTCGCGGGGGCAGCATCCCAACTAGGGAGCTCCAGACCGTCCTCTCCCTGGCCTTCTCCACCAGCTCCTCCGGCAGGACCCCAAGGCGTTCCCGGACCAGATTGGAGATGTAACCTCTCCAACGTGTCCTGGGTCGACCCGGGGGCCTCCTGCCGGCAAGACATGCCCGAAACACCTCCCCGGGGAGGCGTCCAGGAGGCATCCTGACCAGATGCCCAAACCACCTCAACTGGCTCCTTTCGATCCGCTCGGTGGAGTGTGACATGTAAACCCACTGCTAGCAGCTGTTATGTCTGACCTTCTAAACCTTTGGATGGTTAAATAAACATTGATCAGGGACCTGAGCAGGATCATCCAGCTGTGGGAAGAGCTGGAATTTTGACAGATGGTTAAATCAACCTCCGGTCATCAGAAATAAAACTGCAGCAGTTGTCTGTGGCAGCAACTCTTAACCACTTTCCTGCGCATCAGGAAGTGGTTTTCGCTTCAACTTTAGTTCCTCTTTTGCATGAAGAAGATGCTGAGTTGCTGCATCTGACTTTGTGACTTTGTTGTTGACAGCTGGAAGATCTGCATCGTTTATCTGAGATGAACGGATCTTCAGCCAACATGGCTCGAGAGGAGCTGAGAGAATCTGCCCTGAGGATTGAGAGCCTGTCTGCCCAGCTGGCAGGACTGCAGAAAGAGGTTGGATCTGCTGTTTCTGTTTGTTTCCAAAGGCGAAGGGGAAACAGAAGCAATGCCTCAGGCCTGGTTCCACAGGTCTCATGACTCGGTCCTGAGACCTGTGGAACCAGGCCTGAGATATAGCTTTAAGTGTCCTGTCTTTATGTACAAAACCCAGATTGTTTTCTCTCAGCTAGCTTCTCTAAACACCTGACCCTCCTGTGCACCCGCAGACTCGTGGCTGGAGGGATCGTATCCTAGAGCTGGAGGTGGCTCTGACTCAGGAGAAAGACAGGAGCCGCAAGCTGCTGTCAGACAAGGACCGGGAAGTGTCAGAGATCCGTGCCAAGATGCAGCAGCAGCTGAATGAGTACGAGCAGCTGCTGGACGTGAAGTTGGCCCTGGACATGGAGATCAACGCCTATCGTAAACTCCTGGAAGGAGAAGAAGAAAGGTGCCAACAGGAGCTTCATTTTCATCAGCAGGTTCCTCTAAGATGATGTGATTAACTGATGTCCTCCCCCAGACTCAAGCTGTCTCCCAGTCCTTCGTCCCGTGTGACGGTGTCTCGAGCCTCGTCCAGCAGCCGCAGTGTTCGGACCGCTCGTGGAAAGAGGAAGCGCATCGATGTGGAGGAACAGGAAGCCAGTAGCTCTGTGTCCATCGCTCATTCTGCCTCAGCCACTGGACCAATCGTTGTTGACGAGATCGACACAGACGGCAAGTTCATCTGCCTCCACAACACCGGGGACGAGGTGAGCTCCTGGTTTCTGACTATGTTTGTCTGAAGAACAACTTGATCCTCTAAATATTGTCGATGACTTTGTCCTCTAGGACCAGGCCTTGGTGGGCTACGAGATGGTCAAAACTATTGGAAACACGTCAGCCACCTACAAGTTCACGCCCAAATATGTTCTGAAGGCAGGCCAGAAAGTCATGGTATGGTTCTGGGTTGGAGATGTTTGGATCAAGTTCTTGTCCCTGCTGCTGTGTTCACTGTAGTGGTGCTGTTGTGTGTAGATATGGGCCTCTGATGCCGGTGTAAGCTCCAAACCACCCATGGACCTAGTGTGGAAAAGTCAGAACTCCTGGGGTTCAGGGGAAGATGTCAGTGTGGTTCTGATGAACCCACAGGGGGAGGTGAGATGTTCTACTATGGTTACCTCTGAATATAATCAGTCCTTGGTTCAGAATAAAGTCTGGATTACCAAAATGTCTTAATTTGTTTGTAGTTTTAATTTAAAATATAAATGTTTTTGTTTACAGGAAGTGGCAAAGAGAACGACCACATACAAGACGTCAATAGACCAGGTGGAGGAGTATGATGAGGTGGAGGTCATCGAGGAGGAGCTGTTCCAACAACAGGTGAGTTTTACTTCAGATGAATGTTTCCACTGGGACCAGTTTAAATGTGACACACTGAGCCTGGTCCCACCAGCGTGTTCATGACAGGAGTGAGAATCAAGGCAATCACTGTGTTGATGTGGAATGTCTAAATTTGCTGCTGTTCTGATGCCACCATGTTGGTTTTGCAGGGGGGTTCAGGTTCTCCTAAGAGAGGCTGCGCCATCATGTGATCCAGATCCGCCAATCACATCTCTCCTCTGAGCCCAGCCACTCCGCTGCCAATCACAATACTACTATTTTTCTATCTTTTCTAGTGTGTTTCAGCTGATTTTGTTTGATTTGTGTCAGAGAAAATCCCCAAAACTTTGTTTTTGTAAATGTTTTTGTTTGAAAACCAAATGTATGTACTTGTGTGTATTTCAGAACCATTTCTTCAGATCAAGCAGCTTAATTTATGAGCAGAACTGTAAGCTGTGCCATTTTAATCTGGTTTTTAGAGTCTGAGGTTTTATTTAGTTCTCCTTAAAGTGTTTGTAAGTCTAATTTCTATGATCAGTTTGACAACATGCAGCCAAGCTAACGGTGAAAGGCCAGAGTCTGTTCAGTCACCATTAGCACACTAGCTTGTTTGAAGACAGCCATGATTGTGTTTGAGGAAGTTGGAGGACAGGTGAAGTTAGGGGCGGAGCCTGCAGGTCTCAGAGATCTGAACTGACACTGCAGCACAGGCCCACGCAGGAAGTTTTTCTGCTCGTTGGATTGGTGGATTTGACTTTGACGTGTAACTTAGAGTTCCTCCTCCTTTTAAAAGCAGCAGCAGTCAGTGGAGTTTTACTTTTTGAAGTGTTTGCATGCTGTAGTGTGTATCATAGCCGAGTGATTTAAAGTGTCGTGTTTTATTTGATCATGCTAATGGTGCTTTGTAGACAACCGGACTAAACCATGAAGGAGAAGCCAGCTGGGTCGTTCCTGTCGGGTATCAGATCTGCGGCGAACTTGTCTGTGTCAAGTCCAGGTCTTCACCAATTTATTTAAGTCATGTTTTTGTATTCTATTTAACTCCCTATTTAGTATCCATAAGAAAATTGTCCACTCTTGTTTTGTTTTAAGATAAAACTTGCCAGAATACTTTAAAACCCTTTACAGGCTGTTCCAGTCTGGAGGTTTTGGACAGCATACCAAACTTTTGGTTCTTTAGGTCTGAATCCTTTTGTGTGTTGTACTTTATTTTTTGCTGACTAACTGTGTTAATTAACTTGTGTACAGAAGCTTGAATTAGCTCCGTCTTTCATAAAAACAACAAAATAAACTTTTAAATGAAACCACTGCTGTGTCGTTCACAGAACTTTCTGTGAGGTGTGTGGTTACAGCATCCTTCCAGAGGGGAGGCAGCAGTCTGGCCTTGAAAGTTTTCTGCTTTTATTTTTCAATTCTATTGTTTTTGTATGGATTTTTCATTATTTGTTATTCTTGACTAAATCCATATTGGCACAGGAGCCAGAAAATACCAGAGAAGATCAGACATGGCAGTCTGATAGAAAATCTCTACCGCTACTCGGATTCAAAAATCCGTACCCAGAAAACGCTAGGTGGTGCTATTGCAAAATTCTGTCTGTTTTAGCAAATATCTCCCAGACCATAGGTCCCACAGTCACGCATATTTTTTGTATTGGCCACACCCATTTCCGCCTAACTAGATTTTTTGCTAAATCGCAAAACACAATCTAGTTATCACTAATCCATTGAATCAACCTGAAACTTTGTACATATGGTCTATTGATGATGAAAAGTCGTGATGAAGAAGATTGCGGAAATATTGAAAATTGGGCTAGTGACGATGTCAAATTCAGTGCACTAGCTAGTACATATCCTAATTGATAATATCCACCATTTTTCAAGATAAGATGATGAGACTCTAGAGCAGGGGTGTCAAACTCATTTTAGCCCAGGGGCCACATTGAGGGAAATCTAGTCCCACGTGGGCCAGACCGGTAAATTAAAAACAACTTCAGATTGTTTTCTTTGTTTTAATACAATCAATATAAAACAAGGCTGGAGCCCGAGGACAGTGTATCAAAAATAGTACAAGTACAACACCTGAAGTTTACTTGAAATTTGGGAAAAAAATAAAAACATTCCTTGGTGATTCAAAGAGCTTACAGATCACATGGCTAGATCAGTTTCATGCAGCACTTAAAGTATATTTGACTCATTTTACTTTACATCTTTTAGCTTTCACCAGCACATCAATATCAGAAGTCACATCCCGAGTGGCAGCCAACTTCAGGATGGGATTCAAGTTCTTGTGTGAGCCTTGAGTGCAGCTTTGTTTTATTTATACTGATTACAGAGAAAACTTGCTCACAAAGATACATTTATTTTCACTTTACATTGTAAAGTATGAAAATAAAGTTTATACAACCATCTCGTGGGCCGGATTTAACCCGCTTGCGGGCCACATCCGGCCTGCGGGCCTCATTATTTGACACCCCTGCTCTAGAGTCTTACAAAGTTTGAGCTGTAAACCATATCTAATTTTGTTTTGATTCACCAGTAGGGGGCGCTAAAGAGTCTCCAAAAGTTTGTTTAAGCAAAACGGCTTGACGGATTTCCACAGAGCTTGGCACAGATGTTTATCATCAGACCCTTAAGCTATATTTTGAAAATGATTTTAAAGTGGGAATGGCTTATAGGCTTTAAAAACTTTCGCCCTTTTACTCATGAAAAATATATATTCTATACAGAAAGTTACAGTTCATATTGTAATAGTGTCATCTACGATCACAATTTTTTTTATTTTGTCCAATAGGTGGTGCTGTTGTACCCAATAAATGTTTAGGCCATTTTCTCCCCATTTTTTCAGTAAAAGAAACAAATGATCATATCCTGTATGTTGAGTCTGTCAAATTTAGATGAGTTTTAGACTTGTAGCAATTAATACATAATAATTATGACCAATAAGATGTGATGGTTCCATATAAATATGAAATATCAATCTGATTTATCTTTGAATGTTTAATCAGAAGATTATAGGGTTCTTTGCTTCTTTAGGGACCAAAAACACACTTCTGGACAATGAATGTGTCATACTTTAGTTTCGCTCTGTTGCATCATCCCACCCACCAGGCATATAGAGTGCCCTGATTGGCCCACAAAGCGGATAAAGCTCTGTGAGTTGTTCACTAAGCAGATAGAGCACTATGATTGGCCCACCATTATGGACCAATCACAGCTCTTTGTATTTGAAACCCCTCTAGAGAGCTGTGATTGGCTAGCCAGAGTCCTGGTAGGAGCTGCTGAGTAGTGATGGGAATTCCGGCTCTTTTTAGAGAGCCGGTTCTTTTGGCTCAGCTCACCAAAAAGAGCCGGCTCTTTCGGCTCCCAAGTGGCTCCTCAGATTTTCTGTTGCGTAGAGTACATTTATAACCAAAATAATGCTAAACTATATGTAAAATGATTTACTAATGTAAAAAAATGCAATATATCAAATATTTATCATTTCTATGGATTTAATAACTGAACATTTTAAGAAATCTCCACTTTCCAACTGCTGGCGCTCATTTTCTAACCGTCTTCGTCGCACTCTCCGCTCTCTCGCTCGCCTTTTCCCCCCTCCTCATTCATTCTCGTCTCCCTCCGCCTGCATGTGCTCTGCTGTGTGTCTGAATCTTATCCTCCCTCTTCCCCGCCCCTACTGCTCTGTGTGTGGACAGTCTGGACACGCAGTTACACATGCTGACCAATCGCCTGTAGCTTTCACCAAAGCAAGAGGGGAGGGGGGAGGCGAGGGGGGAGGGGAGGGGGAGGGGGGGGGGGGGGGAGACGGCTCCCAATGACGAGCCGGCTCCCGTCGTTCACTTCAAAGAGCCGGCTCTTAGAGCCGGTTCGTTCGCGACCGACACATCACTACTGCTGAGGTTCCAATGGCGCATGCCTAGACCATTCTTTGCAAAGCAAGAATTTGGTCTAGTTCACTAGGCTAGGAAACCCCTGCTTTCCACCGGAGCCGTCAGCAGCACGTCGTAGCGGCTGATAGGAACCGCTGTGGTCAACAGAACCTTTTCCACTGGAGCCGTCAGCAGCGCGAGTCGGCCGCGTCTCAGGAGCAGGAACATGCCGTGGCCTTTACGCGCCGGTTCTATTTTCTACACGTGACGCCTCTGAAACGGGTAAAGTTTTAATTTTGGTCATGACCCCGGGTTTCCATGGGAGCCGTCAGCAGCACGTTACTGCAGTATGGCATATGGCAAGCCAGAACCGTCACAATACGCCACTTTCCCAACCCGTCTAGTTAAGAAATGGCGAAAAAAACGCCGTTTGATGTGCCAAGACGTCGTAAAATACGGCGAAAACTCTGCCAGAACGCCGTAATTGACGCCGTTCTGAACGGTCCCGTAGAACGCCCGTAAAATACGTTTTTTCCGGACATTGAACGCCGTTTTTTACGTCACCCTAATCCCAGACGCGTTCTCTGTGTGGGTGGCGTAAAATACGGCGTTTGGTACGGACATTGAACGCCGCTTATTTCGCCGTTCTGTGACATAAAACGCCGCTTTTAACGCCACTTTGTGACAGTTTTAACGCGTTTAAAAGTCAACTTTACTCTCATTTATGCAGAGCCCTCCCCATGGGTTTCTCATCCACTTAATTTAAACTCCAGTGACCCAATGAAAGACGAGGAGGTTGAGGCAGCACTAATTCATCCCAGATTCGCCGGGCTGTCGGGCTGTGCGGATTGCTGTTTTCTAATACAACTCGGCTCTGTTTCAACTAATTTCACTGTATTGAAAAAGCCTTGAAATGTAGTAATATTATCAACAATGTGTCAACATTATTATTTTTTCTGTCTACCTGTAAAAGGCAGAAACGCTGTTTCAGTCAGACCTGATGATTACTTAAAATGTGGCTGCCCCGTACCAGTCTGTCCTCGTTTCGTGGCTGGTGAGTCCAGCTGGAACATCAGTGCTCTTTCTGTCCAAAACTCCCTTCTTCTTAAGTTCATCCACTTTCAGTATTTACTATTGTTTTTTTTTTTTTTTTTTAACGACTGTTATACTTGTCTTACAGGAGCTTCTGAAGATGTTCTGTCTTGCTTCTCCATCATCACTCTCCAGATCCTCAGACCAGCCACTCCAGAACCTTCCCAGATCCAGGATCCGAGCACTTTAATAAAAGTTTGAAACATGTCTGCTTGTTGTTCTCCTATAGAAGCCTTAAACTAGAATTAGCTAATGAGCTTTCTTGGCTAAAATATGCTCTTGAATGTTTTTATTTACATAATCAAGAAACACGTTTTTCATTGCTGCTTCACCAAGACATGACTCTGAGAATGTCCTCAGCATCTGTCTGCATTCCCTCCTTTGTGGGGGATGATTATTTGCAGCTTCAAGGCTGCATTGGCATCTGATTTGGATAACAAGACTGTGTTTGGGTCAGGCAGAGATAATTTCCCCTCTGCCTTCAGTCTGTAACTGGTTATTCCAGTCCTTCAGTGAAGTCTATTCGGGTTATTAAACATCTCCACACCGTCCGGTGACCCTCTCCGAGATGACATCCATTTTGCGCACTAACACCGGTAACGCAGCTAAGATATTGTCCAGCTTACGATTCACCTCGAGTAACGTCCCAGTCTGTGAGGTCTCCGCCGGACAGTGCCATCCATGGGTGCGGGTCGCCCTCCAATCGCTCCCGTCTTCCCAATTTTTCGGAAAATCAGATATCCTCCCACTACAATCAGAAGAAATCCAGTGATCATCAGGCCAAATATCCACATATCTTCAACGTCCTCAATGGACAACTGAGAGAGACAGATGACCTTCCACTCCTTCCAGGAATCGAGCATATATCCCGCTGCATGTGTCCCATGAGGGCAAGGGGGAGCCCCCTCCTCCATTCTCATCGTAGAAAAAATCTTATCAATCGCGTTGAATGACCAATTAATTAAATCCATTTCTGAAAAATAGTGATTTCCAGAGGAAATGCAGAGAAGCGCTCTGTAGGCAGACAGGACAAAAAGAGCCTTGGGAAAAAAAGATGAGGAAGCAAAGCAGAAGCGACTGTGCTCTGTGTGTGCCAGGAGAAATTTTGGTAATTTTATGATGATTTATGGATTTTTTTAGGATTTTTAAAAATCATTTGATCAGAGTAAGTCACGAAATGAAACTCACAGTTTTTGTTGAAATTGCATTAAATCTAGAGACATTATCAAGTACTAATATTATTCCCAATATACTATTGATGTTTAGATTATTGTTTGGTAATCTTTAGATCAAATATGGATGTTATAATAAAGTTTTATTTCAGTCAGTTTATAAATTTCATTATATTTTTTATTGGAAAAAAAATTAATTTAGAAACAATAAAATTACAAAACCTGATTTCTCATGACCCCATGATGATACAATAATATTTTTGAAATTTCTTTTAAAAGAATACATTTTTAATTAATTTAATAAACATTGTCAGTTATATTGAAAAGGTAAATAGTAAACAGCCTGTATTTATATAGTGCTTTTTAGGGTTCCGGATGGGGTTTCCTCAGAACATCCAGGATGTACCACAACAGTTCTTTTCTGGTTCACTGGGGACTCCTTACCTGTTGTCCATCACCAGGGCGCACACACACTTTGGGATTTGGGGTCACCAACCTAGCCTGCACGGCTGCACCAGGGGAGGATCTACATATAAAGGACCCCATCCCGGACCTGCAACTGTCACTGCTGTCCCACCATGCTGCTCAGCGCATCCCACTGATACAAAAACCCAGGACTTTTCCTCTCACCGACTCCTGCACTGGGTCACGCAGACCCAAATGGTCTCCACTGGACAGCCTTGACCCTGACAGGGTGACCCATCCCGTTCCCAGCTCTGGCCCTGACTGATCCCAGTCCCTCTCCGGTCTTCTGGCTGATCAGGGACCAGCAGTTCACTGATGGGCTGTTAGTTTACAACTGGGTGTGTCTAGAAGCTGCTGCTGGAGATTAACTTCAAACTATCACATGATTCATTCACATATTCATCCTGTCAAAATCCACTTTAGAAGAGGCCACGGTGCGCGCTGCTTTTCAAAATAAAACTAGCCGGAACCAGTCGATCAGGCTGAGTTTTATTTTGAAGGGACGCAGTGAGGAGTTTCCGTTAGATTCTACCTGACTTGACTGACAACCATGGAGTTACATCACCCCCTTCCTGTGTGTTTTTATAACATGGACAGAGCGGCGGCGTGTAGTAAGCGTGCCGCCCCGCCTGATCCACCTGTTACACCTGCCCTGCCTGGTCCCTCACTCCCCCAGCCGCCAACATGAGCTGGTTTCTGTCGTGGCTGCCAGCTGTGGCCGTGGGAGTTTTCTCCGCTCTGGTCCTGCAGAAACTCTGCTTCCCTTACTTTTGGACGGACCTGTTGTTTCTGTGGAAGGTGGTCCGGTACGGGGTGAAGCTGGAGCTGTTCGGACTAATGTCCAGCGTGAGGACGGTTCTGGACCGGTTCATGGAGCAGGCGCAGCGCATCCCCGACAAGCCCTTCGTTATTTACGACGGGAGCGTCCACACGTACCGGGAAGTGGACAGGCGCAGCAACCGGCTGGCCCACGTCTTCCTCCGCCAGCTTAAGCTGAAGAAAGGAGACTGTGTTGCCTTGCTCATGAGCAACGAGCCGGATTTTCTGAACGTGTGGTTCGGCTTGGCGAAGGTGGGATGTTCGGTGGCGTTCCTCAACACCAACATCAGGTCCAGGTCTCTGCTGCACTGCTTCAGCTGCTGTGGAGCTAGAACTCTGATAGTGGGCTCAGGTAAGACTCACCTGTCCCCATGATCTCCATGGTGACCAGCTGTATAAACTAGTGGTTATTCTGGGAGTCTGACCTGATTTATACTCGCTGGTTCCGACTTTTAACGAGCTCAAAGAGCTGGTTATTCCACCTTGTCCAGTTTGGGTTGTTTTTCTTTGTCATTTCAAAAATGAGCTCAGAGCTAAAGAATAAAAATAGAAGAACAACCTCTCTTTCTGTTTATTGATCAAATAAAGAAATTGTAGAAAATTATTTAGAATTTATGTTTTAAAAGTGTTCAAGTTTCTGTTTTCACCAAATTTTCGAAACGTTGTTTAGCCAGTCAGCCGAGTTTACCTGTATGGCTTATGTTGTAACAGGTGTGGGTTGTTGTGGGTATTTTATGGTTATTGTTGGATCTAAACCAGAGAGATAGGTGGTCTGGGGTCAACTGATGGGTTTCACTGTAAGTTCATACTACCACAATAAAATCAGCACAAGGTTTTTGCAGTTAGGTCAGATCACCCAGTAACTACCCAACTGTTCAATTAGTTACCATACTGGTAAACTAGTAACTACCCAACTAGTTAACATGTAATCACTTTACTGCACAGCAAATTTGTTCATTTCACTAACTGTACACTACAACCAATATTCAAAGAAAATTTTACACACGAGTTATAAATCAACTCCATTTTCAGTGTGCAATGCTGGTGCCATGCCAGGAAGCTACCAGTTACACTAGAAAACCCTGCCTAGCTCATGCATTGTACACCTCATGACTACAACCAATCAGTCAGTGGGAGAGGTTCACAAGGTGTAGAGTCCTGAGCATGTAGTATGAACCATGCACCACATTTTTATTATGATAGTGGAACACATAGCTGTCCCATTCTTTTAACCAAAACCACATTTGCAACAGTGAACAAAACTAACTAAGAACAACACAACTCTGCAAAATAAACATGCATGAACACCCCAAAATAGAACAAACTAACTAAAAACATGACTACTCACAATGCAGGTCGCCCACTGCAGCTCTCTGCAGCCAATCGGCCACTTCCAGTCCAACTTTTAGAATAAAAGGGTCAGGGTGGAGTCTACAAATGAACTCTGCAGGTGTTATAGCCGCTGTGGGGGTTCAGAGTTAGAGTTTCAGGAGTTATTTTGTCTAAAATGACACCTACAGAGTTGATTAGGAAACATTCATTTTTAACACTGGGTTTTAACTCATTTCAGTGTTACATATCAACTATATAACTCTTTTTAGCGTTAAATGAACTATTATTGGTGTTAAACTGGACCAACTCCAGAAAATTAACACTTTTAAATTTGTTGTGTGGTCAAGTAGTAACTACCCCTTTGGTAAATATGCAATCACTTTACTGATCAATTAGCAACTACCCAACTGGTCAATATTTAATTACTTTACCGGGGAACTAGTAAGCACTCAACTGTTCAATGGTTTCCTTACTGGCCCACTAGTGATTACCCAATGGAATATTTAGTTATTTTACTGGTCAACTCTTAACTACCCAACTGGTTAATAGTCAGGTACTTCACTGGTCAACCAGTTTATTACCTTAATGGTAAGTTAATAATCACCCAACTGATCAATGGTTAATTTATTGGTTAACTATTAACCACCCAACTGGTAAATATTGAATTATCCTACTGGAGCTACAAGCCACCCTACTTATGGACTACTAACCAGCTAGTCTAAAACAGTTGAACTTGTTTAGCTCCTTAGTGATCTGGATCATCAGCAGCACTTTGACTTGACCATGGATCTGTGCACACCCCTAGTGTGAAATCACCTCTTAACGGAAGAATTAAACTGGTCTTCCTGTAGATCGAGACTACTTGACAGTGTGTGTGGTTCATTCATGTATCCAACATGATCAGGAAAATTGAACAATCAACAATAAGTAAACCTTTATGAATTAAATGAATGTGTTATTCATTAAAAGATGACTTTACTGAACTGCTGAGTTTACATCAAAGTGAAGTGAAACAACTTCAGTCACTGAAACAGGCAAATGTTAGAGTGGACTCTAAATACTAATGAATCAGTTAGTCCGGAGCAGTTTAGCAAGGCCCACCGGTCCTGAACGAGGGGATCCTGACATCACCTCAGATGTGTTTAGCATTAGGTTTGAACGACCTTCAATAATTATACACCTGATCATCAGTTACATATTTATGTTTAGGTCAGTCAGGAGATTCAGATGGAGTTTAACCAGATTTACCACAACTTCTACTGCCGGTGGAGTCACTCACCATGTTGCAGCTTTGGTACTGTGGGATGGGTTTCTGCTGGAACAGGAATGATCATGGTCAGGGCCTGTCCTCCTTGTAGCACAAGACACCCACACTAAATAACCTTGTTAACTGCAGCTGTAGACCTTTTGACTTATAGATAATATTAATTAAATAACCTGAATTTAGTTTGTGGCCCATCTTTGGGTCTTGTCTGTAGTTTATTTGTGATCCTTGAGTCATACTAAAAGTTCAGTGTTATTCTGCTCTGTCACATGATGAGGCTTATCATTTGTGGCTTCTGAAGAGTAAAACAAGTTGGGCCCATGTCAGTAGAACCTGAATATTCCCTGCATGTGTCCCTGCTCCAGATTTAGTGGATTCTCTGGATGACATCTTGCTGGAGGACAACATTCAGGTGTGGACCATGAGGAGACACAGTGAACACTCAAAAGTACACACTCTGTTGGACAGACTGGATTCTGCACCTGATCAGCCGGTTCCTGCTGAGCTGAGGGCCACCAAATCCCTCAGAACCCCCACTCTCTACATATTCACCTCTGGAACAACTGGTGAGTCTGAACTAGTTCTGGTTTCTGGTTGGAGATGCCAAGAAGTTTCACATGGATACAACTAGTTATTGTCCCATAGATCCCGAAACACCAACATCACTAAAAAAAAAAAGAAACTAGCAGTCTCCCCTCATACCTGCCGTGGGTTTCTACAGCAAATGGAATCATTGCATCACCACCCCCTCACAGCTCAGTCATGCTAACATATGCAGCATCATCTCCAGGAGGTCATTTCAGATGATCAGTCATATTGCATGAACGCATCAACGCCGTGACAATGCTTATTGACCCAACCATCTCTGCTCGTCCTGGATCAAAGTCAGTTAAACAAGAAATGGTTCGATCTTAAGGTGCAACATTATTTAAATGTTAGGTTTTTCTTCCTACCAGAACACCAGAATCTTCAGGCCCGTGTAGACCGTATGTGTGACGTTGTGTGTTTTGTTTCTGCCAGGTCTTCCTAAAGCTGCTGTGATCACTCACCTGCAGAGCCTGAAGGCTGCAGCAGGTTTCTGGGCTTTTGGAGGAACAGAAGATGATGTTGTCTACATTCCTCTGCCTCTGTACCACAGTGCAGCATCCCTGATCGGTATTGGAGGAACCATAGAACTTGGTAGGTTCATCACACACACACACACACACACACACACACACACACACACACACACACACACACACACACACACACACACACACACACACACACACACACACACACACACACACACACACACACACACACACCCCTTTAGGTGAACCTCCTTGGTCAGTGATGTAATCTCTGGTCCAGGTTCTGGTCCAAATGAGACCAAAGTTGAGAGTTCAGTGTCCTCCAGTTGGAGACATAATGCAACAGTGTAAACAGACTTCTGTCGGTCTGGAGTCCTTGTGGGTGTAGATGATGAATCGTGTTAAACCCTGACTCAGCAGTTCAGTGGTCCAGGTAGACAGAAGTGCTGGAACCATCCTCTGTTCTCAGAGGAGCTGTCTTTTGTCAGAGACAAGTCCATGTGAGTTTGTCGTTCATCACCTTGTCTGTATCGTTAAGAGGCTAGCTGCATGATTCAACAACCTGGATCTGGTTCCTAAACAGCAGGTGAATCTGGTTCACTCCAAACGTCTCTGTGCTTCGGACTCAAACTGAAAAATAAACATTAAAACTTTGCATTTGCTGCGTGAAACATTGAAAGTCTTTGTCACAACTTTACCAGTTTACTGATTTAAGTCGATAAGTCATCACCTGAACTGATCTAAATAAAGTTCTGAGGAGGTCTGAATGTTTTCATTGTGAGATCCCTTCATGGAGAACTCTGGTGAAACCTTCAGGCCTGTGGTCTCAGGTCTTGGTCGTGTTGATAAAAGGATCGGAGTTTCTACTACTTTTTAGCTCAGAACCAGGATGAAGCTGATCAGTGTTTCTGTGTTCTTCTCAGTAAAGACTCAATTACACAGGTATTTGGCCTCTGTTAGAGTTTGAACAGACTGAGAATATCAGGCTTAGTTTTTCATTCTATAGTTTTCTGACTAAGTTGTCCACGACCAGCTGGTAGACTAAAATCATCCAGAAGATTAAAACCAAGACTGAAGTGAAAAAGTCCTTTATGGTCTCTTCAGAAAACAGATCAGTTCCATCCAAGGGCGTCAGTTTGTTTTCAGAATTGCTGGGGACAATAACCATACACTTGAGTGGGGTTTAAAAATTGCTGGGGACAATAAAGTAGGCTAGCACAGGGGTCGGCGGCTCTGGAACCGCATGCGGCTCTTCCATCCATCTGATGCGGCTCTCTGTGCTTGTGAAATAATGAATGGATATTTAAATAAAATGCTTTATATTTTACTGCATTAATTTTACATCTGTATGCTAATTCTAAATGTAAAGATTGTCTGCGTAAACCTGAACAGGTCCAACCCGGTCTTACTGTGAGACCGGGTTGACGCGTCACGCTTGTGCGTAATCATATCGGCGCTTCTGAGCTGCTTTCTGACCTTCCCCACCTACAAAGTTTAATTACAACAATCAAACGTGACAGAGCCTGGATTTGTATTCTGAACAGTCTAAACATGTTTTAAAAAGAAACATAGGACAAAAGTGGCACCTGCTCAGTAAAACCATCAACAGGGTGAAAAATACCAAAAATTGAAGGCAGAGACGGGCTACAACTTCTGGATCCACTTTATATAAATCGTTTTATTGATTATCGTCTAATGAAAGATAATTAAGACGTACACGAGCGATCAGGCGCGTTGCAAGCTTTTCAAAAGTGTGGGGGATGTTGTCTGTGCCTAAAATAAGTTCATGTTATTCATCTTGTTAGTTTAATTTCCGTAATAGCAGAGCAGGTGCGAATTTTAGACGCGTCACGCATGTCTCCGTTTTAAACATGTTTAAACTGTTCAGAATACAAATCCAGGCTCTGTCTCGTTAGATTGGTGTAACTAAAGTTTGTACTGAATGACACTTTACATTAAACCATGTTGAAAATAAAATGATCCAATTAAATAGTTTCCCCCTCATTTACAGTCAGTACAGCGCAGTGCACACGGCTCTGGGGTTAATCAAGTTTAATTGTAACATTAATATGTTACTGGACACGCTGGTCTGGTTGGTTAGACCAGTGTTTGAAGTGGAAAACACACACACACACACACACACACACACACACACACACACACACACACACACACACACACACACACACACACACACACACACACACACACACACACACACACACACACACACACACCAATTAAAATAATGCTGACAGCGTGGACTAGAAGACAGGTGATGGTTTAAGTATTTAAATGATGATCAGGCTGCTGTAAAATGTAATCTCCATCCACATCCAGACAGAATTATCCTCTATTCTTTCTCTATTTGCTCTGCTCTTGTCTGGGCTGACGTAGCTGATGGTGCGCGGCGCGCCTAACCAGCGGCTGATGCACATTTTACGCATTTGGAGAGGTGGGCTGGATGCTTTGCTTTTACTGGAAGATGGTCCACTTAACGCACGGGTGTAGACTACATATTAATGACAAATGAATGAAAATTAAATTGTGAGTTTTTACTTCATATTTTATAAATAAAAATGATGGGGGAAAACATTAATGACGTATTTTTAAACGAAATTTTCTAGCGCGTCCTGCCTGCTTCACTAAGCCACTGCTTATTAAGGTCCGTCCAGAATTACCGTGGCCCATCCAAAAATGAAAACCTGGCGCCACGCCAGTTATAAACCTCTGCAAATTGTTGTTCTTCACTTTATCAAACTCCGACTTTGTACAGCTAATGTCAAGATGTAAAATTATGAATTCAGTCGAGCTCTTCCGTCCCTCCCTCTCCTGCTCTCCTGGAAACCCGACATCGGCTGGGAGGTGAAGAAGGAGATGAGGCAAACAGAGTGAGTGCGACGTAAAGAAACCAGACTGGTATGGAGGTGAGCAAAACAGCTGGAAAAGTGTGGGTGTTGAATCCCCCACTGGTGCGATGCCCCCGGCTGCTGTCACCTGTTGTGAGCAGCGCTCTGCTGTCTGAGGGTAGGCCCCGCCCGCAACGCTGCGGCTGCTGCGGTGTTTTCTTTACTGTGGGAAACGGGTAATAATGGCTCTTTGATGGGAACAGGTTGCCGACCCCTGGATAAGATCTGAGCTGGTAAAACAAAAATCCTCATCAGCAGGCTTTTTTGAAAGTGGGGGGGGACACAGCTGCCAATCACGAATTTTGCCGGGGACATGTCCCCGGCGTCCCCGGTTAAAATGACGCCTATGGTTCCATCAGACAATGCCTAGCTTTGAGGTTCTGCTCTTTAGTCTGGACCTGGACCTGGACCAGGCTTGCCTTTAAGCTGACTCTGTGATCACTTGTTACCTCTGGCTTGTTGAGATTTTATTCTGCGTTCTGATCCCACCTGAGTGGATCTGTTCCCAGTGCTGTTAAAGTTGAGGGTTCAACACCCATCAGAGGAAAACACCATGGAAAGAGTACAAACAGAACTCCCCAAGGCCAGAGTCCTGCAGATGGAGGTACTGAACTGCATTAAACCCTGAACTGGTTTGTTTTACACCCAGAACACAGAATCACATGGTCTACGTGGATCAGGCTGTTGGCAAAGATGGTGGTTGTTACAGGTCAGGTAGGGTGTTGTCCTGATAGCTATGGAGAGATGGACTGGAGAAGTTTCACCTCCAACACGACCAGTAGTTACAGTCCTTTTCATCCAATGGTATTACAAGTGAGTGTTGTTTCTAGTCTGGTTTAAACATCTCTTAAGGGGGTTTTAATGACATCTTTTCAACAAAAGACTAGAATACCTTGCTAAAGTAGTCTCATTGTCTGGTGACAGTAGCTACCAACATTATTAAAAAGAAGAAGGTCCATGAGACTTTAGCAGAATCAAACACTGGTTGATCAGACATAAATATGGTAGAAAAAGAGCCAAAGAGATAATCTAAAACCATTTAATGTCCAAGGTCAAGTTACATCACTTTCTACTCTCACCGTCCATTAGATTCTGAAGCTTAATAGGCTCTATGGGAGATGATCCAGGAAGTCCTCGTGAGTGAATACACCACCTTTCAGCCCCCGGGGCGGCTGGAATAGTTTGCTCAGGAAGAGTGGACCAATCTCTCTGCTGATAAATGCAGACGTCTTATTGTAAAGTCCAGAGATGGCTTGTTGTCTGTGATCACTGATAAAGCTGCTGCTAATAAGTAATAAATACACGCTCCATCCTTTTTGTCAATCCAGGTCAAAGTTTATTCATTAAGTACGTTCAAAACTATTGAGCTGTCCAGAAAAATGTAGGTAAAAACGATAAAAATGCTCCTATAAATGAAAATCCAGGGTTAAAAGTAGGACTTTAAAAATGTTTTAGTAAAGCTATAGAGGGAGCATGTCTAATATGGAGAGTAAATTGGTTCCACACTTTTATGACCGCATCGATTAATTTTAATGTAGTTTGATTTTAGATTTTTGGTTGGATTCTTGGAGCTCTTCTGCTTACTCGTTAAAGCTCCCGCTCAGGTCCACCAGACAACACAATGTGTGTTATCACTACGCTGATGATACACAGGTGTACATGTCTGATTCTGCCAACCAGCAGCAATATTATTACGTTTTTCACTGACATCAGAGGTTAACTAAGGTCAAATCAGGACAAAACAGAAATTCTCAGATCAATGATTGAGGTGTGGCTGTGGATTCAGATCAAAATGATCAATAACATCCTGAATTTGTCAAGGACGGCATTCTTAGAAATAGAACCAAAGTTGGATCTCTCAGAACACAAACTGACTTTAAAAAACTAATTTGTTTCTATTTTTAGTTGATTAAACTTTTAGCAAACATCAATAAAACACCAAATAGACTTCAGCCAGACATGGATCTGTTCTAAAATCACTCCTCTGCTCCCAATCTAACAGAACTGACCATGAAATACTCCACAGCCTGACTCCCTCCTTGTGACAAGATAACTTTATTTTCTGTTTTATAATATAACAGAAATTCATCTTAGACATGAATTCTTAATATAAAATAAAGTAAGAAAAACAACACATTAAAGCAAATTAAAAAAGGCACATTAAAAAACCACTGCAGTCCATTTTATGTCTTTGGCGATGTTTCCCCAGATACTTACTGTACCTGCTCCACCAGCTGAGTGTGGATGCTGAGCAGCTGGAAAAGGATCCTTTGTTTTTTCTTTTCAGTTTACAGCACAGCTCCTTAGTTTTAGACATGTTCAGCGCCAGTGAATTACCAGCGTGTGGACTTCCTCTTGTGTCAAGATGGAGGGTCAGTAAGGTGGGCCACCAGGACCGTATCATATCTGAACAACAACATTTCTACTGCAGGTTATACATGAGAACCATTTAAAAACACATTGCTGAGATGGTCACTGAATAAACAGCAGCTAGAAGCTGAAGGTCAAAGGTTGTCTCACATCAGACCAGTCAGTGAAGTTAAGACATGATGTTTTTAGTCGTTAAGATCTAGTTCTGAGTACCTCTCTGGACCAGAACTCGACACAGAAACTAGAGATTTGATTTTAGGTGTGGTTAATAGTGTTGTCAAAAAAATCGATACCTAGATATAAATTGATGCTAAAAGTGGTATCTAAATTAGATATTCCATCCCTGTGGCATCGATATTATGGATTATTATACACAGCCTTCTTCAAGTACACCGACACGCACGACAGCCAGATGCCATAAAGCAGCCTCCGCCTCCCAGACAAACAGAAGAAGAAGACGCCGCATGGCTACATTGCAATTTCCCACGCGAGTTGTCTCCGATCCAAGTTTTGTCTAAATGAACAAAAACATAAACAGCGAATTTGGGAGGCGCTTCACAGCCCAACGTAATTAGCATACCAAGTCCGACACATAGTTGTATATTCACGCTTATGTGCTTAAAGGAAACTCCCGTTTATTGCAACCCGGACTTAATATCTAGCATGCAGTACGTTTGTTTACTCACGCTGACAACTTTGGTGCTACTTGGATTCCCCGCGGTATTTAGATCCATCGGCGAATCGCCATCAGTGTATATCCATATAACGGGTGCGGACGGGCACCCATGGTGCAGCCTCGAAATAAGACATTATCTGCACCAAAACATCTTCATGTCGAAAGGTTTTGTTAGGAATCATTAACGCGATTCCCCTGTTCGTTTGGAGCGAGTCTGGGATTTCTAGGCGTGAACAGACTAGCCACGGCTAATCTAACCGGCGCTTTTGATGACGTCACTGCCGTGCGCCAGTCTGTTTTTATTAAGATTACCGGTAGATGTACCTTTGTCCTACTGTGGAGAAAATCGTTTTCTCCCTTTATTGACCAACAGAGTTGTTCAAAAGTACAGAACAAAACATATGGCATTACATCTTATGACAAAAATGCACCTTAAACAGAGTTTAAGCAGCAAAACATCACTCTGCAAATAATGTATATATAGTGAGACAATTCATGATTAAAGTGTTAACTTTCGCCAGTTTTTGTATGCACGTTTTAAAAAATGCTGATACTTGAAAGGTTTAAGCACGTTACACACTTAATTCTTAACATTTAATTTTTGCAATATAAATTGAGGAATGTTATTTTTTGAATAAACTTGTTCAATAAATTGGTGTTTTTAAATAGTATCGAAGTCGAGTATCGAGTTTTTTCCCCCAGTATCGAATCAAGTTTGAAATTTTAGTATCGTGACAACCCTAGTGGTTAACTGAAAAACCTTTTAGGTTTTTTCTCACTAATCAGCCACTCTGAGTTTTTAATTTAAGCTGAACGTTAAATAGTCTCCTACACTTATCTCCTGCATTAGCTTCTGGTAGAAAATAGATGGTGAAACTCTAGGATTTAAAATTCCTGACAGATCTATATCACTCTGTCACTTAACCTATCTTGACTCACAACGGGAAAGGCTGTTGTTTGTTTAACATCCGGGAGTCAGCAACGGAAATCTCGGCTAGTTTCAGCTAACTGTTAGCATTAACAACTTCACCACATGGCAGACGCTCCTCCAGGCTTGTGTTATTTGTGGAGATAAAATATCAACGTTGCAAGTCATTGGTAGAGTGATGTTGCTGCTATCCAATCCGAGATGAGATGTCCAAATATCAGAAAAAAAACTCCAAAACCTGCCGTCTGAAGCACAGCTGTGATGTGGGAAACTTTTGGCCTGTGAAATTATGCGCTGGTATATTTTCTCACCCCAAGAACAACTCAGGTACAAGGTATTTATTCCCACTAGAGACCACTGCCACTATATTTATTAAACAAGTAAACAACTCTTAAAATATTCCTTATACCTTTACCCTTATTTGATTCATTCAGTTAAATGTTTTATAATTGATGTTTGTACGTTTTATATTTTTCTGTAGTTTTACTTGTTTTTTAACTTCTACTTACTTGATTTTGCATGAATTTTAAGGGTTCTGCAGTGACTCAGTTACTTAATGAAATAAGCTTTACAAACTTGACTTGATTTGACTTGCTTCCTCCAGCAGAGGCATCATTTTCATGTATGAAACTGAAATGAAGATGAGACTTTGTTCAACACCCAGGGCAAGTTCCAGTGTGCCGCTGCTCATGTCTGAGTTGAAGGAGAAGGTGGCTCGTCTCGGTCATCATCTCCTGTATCCATCTGTCATCCTTTCTTCACATGAAGAAATGAGAATCTGTTTCTTTCATCTTGGATCTGAACATGAATCTTTATTTATTTATTTCCAGGAACCTCCAGACAGATCTAATATGCAGACGTTGTTGCGACTAGAGTTAATCCAGCTCGGCTTGTTTCATCCTTGTAGCTGATGAGTCCCGCCTAAACAGGATCCATGTTTCTGTTTAAATAAAGAAGGAGGTGCTAAATACGGGCTTTGATTTGCTGCAGGAGCTACCTGTGTGTTGAAGAAGAAGTTCTCAGCCTCTCAGTTCTGGAATGACTGCAGACAACATGATGTGACCATATTCCAGTACATCGGGGAACTCTGTAGATACCTTTGCAACCAGCCCAAGGTAATCTTCTGCTGTCTTTAACGAAGCTGTTACAATATTAGATTCATGCATTCCTAAAAGATCAAGGGTTTCTGTGAAATATCCAGATTTTCAGACCTAACCGTTGGAGAGCTAGAGAAAGAAACTTCCTTTTTTCAGTTACAGAGTAATATAGGGCTTAGAAAGTGTACAGCAATTCATCAGTGGTTTCATTTTAGTAACACGAATTACAAGCACATTTAGAATGGTTTGCATTGACGTAGGCATGAAATAAAATGGGGGATTAAATCAAGTTGAATACCACAGAAGATGAAGCCCATCCTGTAGCTCTCATTTAACCCTGTTTTGAGGAAATGGACAGTTATGGATTGTTTTACATGAATCTCTTCAGTGAAAAACATGTTCATCAAGTAAATGCAAAGCTACTGGTGGGGAAGTTTAATAAATAATGAGAAAATAAGTGGTCTCAGCCCATTTATAAAGCGCCTTCCGCAACCCTGTCAGGAAGCCCAAAGCGCTGAACATGGTTCAGTTGAAGGTAAATATATTGAATAAATCAAAAATAAAAGCAATTCAAATTACAAAATACAAATTACAAAACAGGTGAAACATTCTGGTACAGGACAAATGTGTAAAACAATGGATAGAGTGAACCAATGAAAACTGTGAAATAAATTCAACATAAGAGGGCCGAATCAAACATGTTCAGGAAACGCCAAGCGGAGGAGGTGTGTTTTTAGGCAGCTCTTAAAGACTGGCAGAGATGGGGACAGCCTAACTGAGGGTGGCAACTGGTTCCAGAGTGACGGTGCTAGGACTGAGAAAGCCCGGTCCCCGCGAGTACGACACCTAGAACGAGGCACAGCGAGCAGGCCTTGGTCAGAGGAGCGCAGAGCGTGTGATGGGGAGTGTCTGTTCAGGAATGTCATCACATACTCCAGTTGGCTTTTGCCAAAAGTAGCTCAGAATAGTGTATGACAGTAATATGTAATCTCACGTTTCGAGCTGTAACTAGTAGTATAGGCAAGGAAGCTTCATTTATATAGCACATTTCATACACAGAAGCAATTCAATGTGCTTTACATTAGCAAGAATGGCATGAACATTAAAATCAATGTGACAGCAAATGTAAGAATAGCAAAAACGACAAAGTTAAAGGTGAGCAGTTACAGTGCAGAAGGTGCAGTATAAGACATTCAAAGGCTGATGAAAACATGAAGGTTTTCAATTTTGATTTAAATGTTTTTAGACTTGGGGCACATTTGAGGTCATGAGGAAGCTGATTCTGTCTGTGTGCAGCATAGTAGCTAAAAGTAGCTTCACCCTCTTTGGTTCTGACCAGAGGCTCTACCAGCTGACCGCTTACTAAAGAACTCAGAGCCCTGCTGGGCGTATAGACCTGAAGGAGATCTGACATGTATTCTGGCCCCATGCCACTGAGTGATTTATAAACAGTAGAAGTACTTTGAATTTGATGTTTTTACAGTTTTAAAGATACATGCCCAACATAGTTCATGAGCCTCCAAAGAATCAAACGCTGAAATTCAAATAGTCAAAAAGTACTAAGTGTTCTTGTCAAAGGTTCCTCGTAATCCTGATGTTATGTGACTGTGTACATAATGTGTATTCAGAGTAAACGCTGTGTTGTAATAAGACTTCCAGGAGCTCTGGGGGGGGGGGGGGGGGGGGCTTCCAGAGAAGATGCTCAACAAACTATCCTTGAACTCTGAGTTACCAACAGAAGGGCTCATGTGAGTGAAATTAAGCTCTGTTTGTCACCATGGCAACAACAGTAGAAAACATGATTTTGCAGCCCAATATGAGCTGCTAACCTTAAAAAATAGTATGGTCTCAGGGGAAAAGTTAATGTAACAGCAGCAGCCACATGGAGGGATCAGTTTGAATGTTTAACTGGACCTGCTTCTCTCATTATTATTTTTCTACTATAAAATCACCATCACTGACAGGTATTATCATAAGTTAGTGTTTGTATTTGTGTGTTTCCAATAACAGAAAATGGTTGTTATGAAAAAAAAACAGTGCAGGGGTTCACCAAATGTTTCTCCAAATAGCACAAGACAAAAAGTCTGCTGCCATCTTTTAATTGCAAATGCTTTAAAGCTGCAATGGCAAAGTTGGAAAACGAATGAGTTTAAAAAATTGTTTTCATGCCTCCTAACAAAGTTCTAACATAGTACAGCTATGAATATATTGTGGAGATAAAAACAATCATTAAAGTGGTTTTCTAACATTAGTCTAAAAACCTCCACCAATAATACGTTTTGGACCTAAAGCAACTATTGGACCATCCAGTTGACTATTTTGCCAAACCGCAGCCCTTCCCTGGGTCCTCCACTCATTACACACTCATGTATTTAGCAACAGAACACCACTAGTGTGAGAGGTTCTCTGCTCAATAATATCAGAGAAGGAGAAACAGCCGGCTGCCAACACTTCAACTTTAGGACACACTACCTGAGTCCCAAAAAGAAAAACACCATTTGAAGTCACGGACAACAAAATATTTTTGAACCTAAAAAACGACGACTATCTCGTTTCCTCTGGCATTGTGGGTTTCTGGTTTCGGCTGGAGCGCCTCGGGGAAGATACCTGAGGGGAGGGGTGGGTGCTCTTTGACCGTGTTAGCATTTAAAACCTAGCTTCTTCTGTAGATTTTTCCTATAACAACTGTAGATTTAAAGACTACAATTTTCTTTAAAAAATGTTTGTTACATGACGTTGGTTTAACTCTAATCTATTATAGCTCAGAGGTCAGTATTGTATCCGTCTGGTAGCCCTTCATGTTACTCAACAGCCACAAAGTAGCTCTCAGCTTTACAAAGGTTGGTGACCCCAGTTCTAGAGGTTTATCATGTACTCGTTGTTTCAGGTTAAAATGAGTTCCCAACAAAACACCTGAACAGTGATGCTAGATTTTATGAATCTTCTACTCAATTATCAGATAAAAAAGCTGTTAAACCGACTAAAGGAATCCCATTTAAACAGGATACTGTGGCACTAAAGGAGGATGTTCACATTATCTGTACAACATCCCATTGTTCCTGTTCTACTCCTCGCTGTTACATCATATTGTGACATCAACGGGCTCAGAACCAGCTCAGCAGACGTTTTCCTACTCAGAGTCAGGAATCTCTCACGTAGCACAGCTCATAGCATGGCAGGCAGACAGGAAGGCCTTTGTGTTGACGTTTGAGACACACTGATTACCACATTGTGAGACCCAGGCTGATCTGCTCTTCTGGCTGGACTCAAAGTCCTCTTTGTCCAGACCTTCTTTGTTATTTGTCTGTGTGGGTGAAGGTCTAGCCGCAGATGTCCTCATCTCTAATTGGAAAATTAAACATGGAAGCATGTGCACCACATAACCAGCATTTCACAGGGCTAGTGAGTGCTCACAAACACGAGTGCTGCAGCCTGTATCAAGCTGTTATGTGTTTGGAGTAGCTTAGTCTGAAGCGTTCTTCATTAGGTCACAGAAATCTTTACATTTTGAATAAAAAGAGAAATTCTCTCAGGTTGTCTAATATTGGTCATGAGTCAGGGCCTCAGAAAACCAGAATGTTAGCTGGATATCTGTCTTGGTTTTTGTTGTTTGGTGTTGGGTGACAAAAGTCAGAATATGGACCAGGTGGACGATTTGTTTCTGGTTTACGATTTGGGTGAGAGGAACTGAAGTTCTAATACTCAAATGAATTATAATTATTACTGCTCTTGAGATAATCAATAGACCTGATTGGAATGTGAAAGTTTAAATAAAGTGGGTACAGAAAGTATTCAGACCCCCTTCAATTTTTCACTCTTTTTTCATATTGCAGCCATTTGTTAAAATCAATTAAATTCATTTTTTTCCCTCATTATTGTACACACATCACCCCATAATGACAGAAAAACACAGAATTTTATAAATTTCTGCAGATTTATTAAAAAAGACAAACTGAAAGATCACATGGTCCTAAGTATTCAGACCCTTTGCTGACACTCATATTTAACTCAGGTGCTTTCCATTTCTTCTGATGATTCTTGAGATGGTCCTACACCTTCATTGAAGTCCTACTGTGTTTGATTATACTGATTGTACTTCATTAAGAAACCCACACACCTGTCTATGTAAAACCTTACAGCTCGCGATGCGTGCCAGAGCAAATGAGAATCATGAGATCGAAGGAACTGCCTGAAGAGCTCAGAGAAAGAATTGTGACAAGGCACAGATCTGGCCAAGGTTACAAAACATCTCTGCTGCACTTAATGTTCCTAAGAGCACAGTGGCCTCCATAATCCTTAAGTAGAAGTTTGGGATGACCAGAACCCTTCCTAGAGCAGGCCGTGCGGAGCCTTGGTGAGAGAGGTAAAGAAGAACCCAAAGATCACTGTGGCTGAGCTCCAGAGATGCAGTCAGGAGATGGGAGAAAGTTGTAGAAAGTCAACTATCACTGCAGCCCTCCACCTGTCAGGGCTTTATGGCAGAGTGGCTCGTTGGAAGCCTCTCCTCAGTGCAAGACACATGAAAGCCAGCATGGAGTTTGCTAAAATACACCTGTAGGACCCCGAGATGGTGAGAAATAAGATTCTCTGGTCTGGTGAGACCAAGATAGAACTTCTAATTCTAAGCGATACAATCCAATACAGTCACCACAGTGAAGCATGGCGGTGGCAGCATCATGCTGTGGGGGTGTTTTTCAGCTGCAGGGACAGGACGACTGGTTGCAGTCGAGGGAACAATGAATGTGGCCATGTATCGAGATATCCTGGATTAGAACATTCTCCAGAGTGCTCAGGACTTCAGACTGGGCCAAAGGTTTACCTTCCAGCATGACAATGACCCTAAGCACACAGCTAACATAACAAAGGAGCAGCTTCACTGCAACTCTGTGACTGTTCTTGAATGTATGACAGGGTGAGTCTCACTGTATCCCAATTGATCATGCTCCCTGGCTACTCGGCCAAAGGGATGTCCCTTTTGCTGACTGGTTAGCACACGTGATTCTCACCTGGGAGTTTGGGGTTCGAATCCCACCCGGGCCCTCATTTCTCCACCTTGTTACAAATGGACCAGCCAGAGCCCTGACTTAAACCCAATTGAGCATCTCTGGAGAGATCTAAACATGGCTGTCCACCAACGTTCACCATCCAACCTGACCGAACTGGAGAGGATCTGCAAGGAGGAATGACAGAGGATCCCCAAATCCAGGTGTAAGAAACTTGTTGCATCTTTGCCAAGAAGACTCGTGGCTGTATTCGCTCAAAAGGGTGCTTCTACTAAATACTACTTAAGGCCATGTAATATTTCAGTTTTTCTATTTTAATAAATCTACAGAAATCTGTACAATTCGGTGTTTTTATGCCAATATGGGGTGCTGTGTGTACATTAATGAGCAAAAATGAATTTAATCGATTTAGCAAATGGATGAATGGACTGCAATATAACACAATGAAAAATTGATGGGGGTCTGAATTCTGTCTGCACCCACTGTAGTTAGGAGGTTAATACATTAACACCAACATGATCCCCCGGATGCAACCGCGTTTCTGACAGACAAAATAAATCGTTAACTAACAGAGACTTAAAAGAGAAAGATCTAGCCATAGCCACATCTAATAAGTTGATCTTTGTTTAATTGTAGTAGCAGTGTTCTGATTTGAACCATTGCAGATCAGACATTGTCTTACTGGGAGCATAGGAGGGTATTAAAATGTTTGTGTGACATTATTATTTGTCAGCTTAAATTTTTGAGAAGTTTTCTAAAATGTCATCAAACTGTGATTGTATAAAAACAAACAAAGATATTAAAACACCAGTTCAGTCATGTAAAATCCAACTTACTACATTTACTCTGTAAAGTCTACCTGCGCAATAGAGCTCCTAAAGGGCACAGGACTTTCTCACCAGGTTTTTCTGGTATTATTTTACTAGGCCTATAAGAATGTATAAATTCCATTTTTTAAGTTACAGGGCATGAAAACAATCATATTGTGAAAGAATCACAAATGAGATGCTAGTGATCAGCAAACGTACGGTATATCAGCCTAACTAGCAGCAGATAGACTTGAGAAGAAAAGCTTTTTTTTCAGAGATATGCTTTATGTAATCCTGTGTGACTTTTGCCAAATGTATACTTTGTGTTTTCTGTTGAAGTAATGACAGCTCTCTCCCTCTACCAGACAGAGATGGACCAGGATCATAAGGTGAGGATGGGAGTTGGGAACGGACTCCGACAGGATGTCTGGCGGGAGTTCCTGAGTCGATTTGGGAACATTAAAATGTGTGAGGTGTACGGTTCTACCGAGGGAAACCTGTGCTTCATGAACCACATCGGCAAGATTGGAACTGTGGGCCGCTCCAATTTATTCTACAGAGTGAGTATCTGCAGGACGTAGTGATGGAAATTACAGTCACAGCCTAGCCAGTTTTCCCACATTTGTCAGTTTCTATTGCATGTGGGAGTTTGGAGCAGCTCAGTTTAGAGTTTAGCTCTAGTATTGTGTTTGAATAGAATATAAATTAGAATGATTTGTCCTACTTATATTGGTTGTTTTCCCTTCCTAATAACAGAATAGACCGCTACCTAGTGATCCTGTGAGACGTTTGTTGCCTTGTGCTTCTGGGGGAGATGTACATCTGTTTCAGGGTGGGGAGGGGACAGCTGGTGTTTCATTCTGCTGCCCCTGATGATGAAGGGCCAGAGTGTGATGATGAAGTCTCTGACTTCATCATCACACTCTGGCCCTGCCCTCACCTGCTACCAGGCTTCCTCCATCTTGGGTAGCTTGATCTCATTTCACGGCAGGGTCATCTGTCCTATGTGGACGTCTTCCCTTGAGATCCATGAAGCACTCTTTTCCAATGGCACTATAGTCTTGATTGGCTGTACCGTCTTTTCATTTGACATGCGACCAGTTTTTTTCCCCAGCTCTTCCGTATCTGCCTTTTTATAGTTCCTAGCATATCGTAAACACAATGTCAGCGACAGTTCACCATTGATTGTCTAGGGGGAGGAGCCACTGGTTGCTCCAGAGCTTTCTGCCTGCTGCCTCACTGCCTGCCGATGTTTGTGGGCTTAGAGTCTGATAAAAGGCCAGAAACTGAACAGTGTTGTGTTTTTGTGTCACATGAAGATCACCTCAAGCTGTTTGCAGATCATCTTGCGCTACCTTTGTGTCAGGTAAAGGCATCCCCCCCATCTGCCTGCCTGCACTGTGACGAGCGCAGCCATTAGGGCTCACCTCAGTTTAACGTGGAAAAGACACCCACACTGAGCTGAGTTGAGTCAAGTTTAGCTGAACTGAGCCATGTTTAGCAAGGTAACGGGGCATTTGTCTGACCACTTCTCTGAGTGAGCTTGGCCGCGAGAGAGCCTGACACCACACACACCCACGATCAATGGGACACCTCCACCATGAAAGGCTGATGGTTCAGGGAAGAAGTCCAACTTTTATTTTAAACACGATTTTGACACAATAACCAACTTTACAGAAGCATGGTCCCCAGATGACTAAAAGGCAAGACCTCACCCACCCTTGAAGGCATGTTTAATTTGAAAACCCTTTTAAAGTTCTTGTGTTGATGAAGTTGATGTTTAAGTCTGTTAAGGCAGTTAAGAGGGATGATTGGTGGATGGGCTTTGATGTAGTTGTTTCTGGTATTAGCTTCACTAATGCCAACCTGCAGAGCTGCTGAGTCAGCAGCATTACAGCAGACTGACTCTTTAATCTCTTGACCCCGGCTATTTTAAGGAGGAGTCTGTTTCTGTCTCAGAATATGTTACAAAAGAGCTCAGGTGACTTCCAGTGTTTGCCAACACCATCCTTCTGCAGTCTCTGATTGAATAAACTACTTTCACACACAGAGAGCACCTTCCTTCATTCATAGGATTTACCTAAAAATAACCAGAGCTTCTTACAGAACGAGGCAGTTGCTGTCAGGTTGTATCTCACCTGCTCGCTCCACATAGCTTTCTTCCTTAATATTAATCTTTAAAAATGGAAACCTTGCAGTGAAAAACACTATATTATCTATTTAAAAACATTTGTAGTATTTATTTATGTAAATTATTATATCAGACAGACCAATGGTATTCTAGATTTGATTCAAACCTACCTTAACCCTTTCTCTGTAGCACTAGTCACGGGTTCCCCCTTGGCTTTATGATTTGGAATTAAAGTAAAATAAATATTACTTCTCACTGGAAATAATGATATAAGGAAGGTTACAGTCTCATCATTCCTTGGAAGAAATTCACATAACTGTAGAATTGTTTATTTATTCATTTTTCTTTCCCAATGGGCAGGGAGGCGAGAGAGAGAGAGTGAGAGAAAGCTCTCTCTCTCTCTCACACACACACACACACACACACACACACACACACACACACACACACACACACACACACACACACACCAGAACCAAAATATCACTGCACCAACAACATGAGGATATATAACAGTAAAAATTTTTGCTGAAAAGCAAACAGTTATAATTCATAGTGCATTTAGTGCCAACCACAGCCTTAGGTTATGTGTAAAACGGCCAGGTCCATACCTGTGTGCACACACACATTTATGTCTGTAAGGTTTCTCTATAGAAGTGTTCAATAGTGAGTATGAGGTACCACAGACTTGCCCCCAAAGACCCGTGGAAGATGGAGGAGATTAAAGCCACAGAGATCTCCCCCGGAGCGCGGAGACCGCCGCCGAAGTGAAACTGGGTACAAGGCTTGAGTCAAACCCAGCACGAGTTAGATACTGATGTGAGTAATCAACCAGCACTGAATGAGTGTCCTGCTGCCGTTTATATTCCCCAGCCAGCCTGATGAGAGATCAGCAACAGCTGAGGGCTACTAGACATGCCCACCTGCAATCTAGAGCACAAAGAGACAAACAAGCATGCAGGGAGGCCAAACACAGACCGTGACAGTCAAGGTGATCGCTCTTTCCAGACAGTTGAACCTCCACTTTGGACTTTCTTTATTTTTATGCTGTACTGACAGTCTGGACATCTTTAAACAGCAGCTGAAGACCCTTTATTTTCCTTTATTTTAAAATGGCAATTGATTAAATGTTAAGTGTTTTTTTTCTTTTATTTATTCAATTACCTTTTCACCTGTTTTATCTACTTTTGTTTTTAATGACCTTTATTCATTTGTTTTTGCATTGTCTTTAATCGTGTTTTATTTTTGATGTGATATATAGATAAACTTTACTAACTTATGTCGTCACCACCTTTTATGTCTGCGTTTCAGTCAAAGACCCGAACAAAGGGTCTCTCGTGACTCTTCGACCAACTCACCAGCGTTCAGCTCAACATCTGGGAATCTGAGTTAGCTGTGTTTTAGTGCTGGCTAATGTTGATTAGCAGTGGCAGCCATCTTTAATCTCTTTTTTTTTTTTTTTTTTTTTTCGTGTCCTGTCTGGCTGTGAAGCAAGCAGAATTGATGTCTGAATGCTGGTAACAAGCCTTACAGTTTTACTCTCAGGTGGAGCATCAGAGCATCTGCTTTTAATGTCTCAGGTGGAGCCTCAAAGAGTCTGCTTTTAATGTCGCACCTGATATTTAAAACTTTATTGTTATTGTTTTTGAATGCTTTGTAATTTCGACCAGACACGGAGACAGAGGTGAAAGAGAAAGGAAAAGAGAAAAGGTGGGGAGAGAGGGGGTTAGGTGGGGGGGGGGATTCAACAAAAATAAACAATAATGAACAAGAGTCTGCTTCTAGACCTGCAAAATGAGACGAGAAAAAAGCAAAACATAACAAAAAAATGGGACACAACACCAATATAACAAAATCAAGCTATCACTGCGTCAACTTGATGAAGAAATATATAATCAATCATTGTTTAACTAAACAGTCACACGATAATATACCACAGTGCATTGAGTGCCCACCATAGTCTTAAGACATGTGTTGAACGTGCCCAAGCCCATACTTATGAGAGCACCATGTGAGCACCTGTGTGTGTACACGCGCTTGTTTATGTAAGGTTTATCTATAGGAGCGTCCAATAGAGAGTGTGAGGGACCACAGATCTGCCCCCCAAAGACGCGTAGGAGACGGGGGGGAGCTCCAAGTCCCAGAGATCCAGGCGCTGCCCCAGAACACAGGAACCCCAAGGAGCCCGCAACCAGAAAGGCCCCCGCCCCCCTCGAGAGGCACAGAGGATCGCCCCGGGGGGCCACAACCAGCAGCCGGCAGAGCCCCGGGAGATATCAGCGGCAAGTCCTCAGGCCTGCCCGCAGCCTCCCACCCCCTAGCCGGCCGAGTCCGGGACCCAGCGACCCGGGACCCAGGGGCGACCACCCCCGCCGGGGACCCAGCAGAGCCCAGGGACCCAGACCCCCCCAGGCCGCCACCGGGATTGATCAGGCAGATGCCAAAAATCTTAAACTCCCTGACCTGGGAGCCACGAACACTCAGGCAGACCAAGGCATCACACCCACACCAGGTGTGACAGGGGGGAGGGGAGACGAAGATCTATATCATCAAAGGAGGTCCCAGGAGAAGGGAGGAGTCAAAGGCCCCACCTGACATATACAGTCATACACAAACACAGTCACACACTCCCTCCCTCATGCTCACACATGCACATACAACCAAAGACTTACAAAAATACACGCCGGACACCCATTCATGCTCCCCATACACACCCTATTCACTCTGGTCCCGGTAATGCTGCACATGGGGTACAACCACCACCGGTTACCAGAGTTTGACCCTTTCTGCTGGGGTGCTGATGAGCAGGCTCCCCCGCCCACCGCCGAGCACAGCAACCCACCACCCCAGACCCCAACCAGACGGCCAGATCTCCCTCCTAGTCTCCAGCCCCAGGCAGCCAAGCAACAACAGAGGTGTGCTAAGACCCCCTGGTCTCCCTCCACCTGCCCCAACATAGTGTTGTGTGTTAATGAGGTGTATTCTATTGCTGTGGTGAGCGGGCAGTGAGGGCATTTTCTGGCCTATGCCAGCTGATGCCACTGCACCACCCTACTTGCACCCACAGCCCTTGGTGTCTAAATGCAGTTTAAAATTCGAAGTGGGCACCGGCACTCGGGAGGAGGCTGAGAACTCCCCCTGCCAAGTGCCGTTGAATGTGCTCACTCCCAAGGCCCTAAGTGTATGTTTGCGTGGAATGTCGTCGGTGGAAGTGCATAAGGTGCAAATAAAATTGGGGGGCAGGAAGCCACAGGAATGCGGAAATGGGGTCCATACCCGCACTCCTCGACTTGTCCACCCCCCAAGGTCCTATGTGCATGTTTGTGTGATGATGTGAGGGAGCAGGAGGAGAGAAATAAACGGGGATGGGGAGGAATGGCTGGTAGGGCTTAGCCCTCCAGGGAGCCAGCTCCCCCACTGACCCCAATAGGCACCTCCGTTGTCATACCGCCGCCCAGGGCATGGAGACCCCAGCCCATCCTGCCAGGGCCCAAAGCAGCAGCATCACAGAGCCCCACAGAGCCCGAGGGAGCCGACCCAGCCCCACCCCAGCAGAATATCTATGCCCATCCCTGCATTTGCACAACTTCCAAAATATATAAGACATAAGACATCCAGGTAAGGTTGGGTCCTCCCCCTCCTGGACCTCCCCCTCCCCTGTGATGGGACAACAGAGGAGCCAGGGCCTGCCCTACGCCCCCGAACCCGGGCCAGGTACTTCTGCGTATTCCTGCCTTCTTCCCGGCAGCGTACATGTAGGGACCCGACCCCCAAGGCCCAGCCCAGATCCCCACACGGGGCCGGCCACCCCAACACCCCGAGCCCCCAGGCCCCCACCCAGACCCACCCTGGGGCAATGCAGCCGCCAGGCAGTGACCCATGGCCGCCGCCAAGACCTCCAAGGGGCCCCACTCACAACCGCCAGCAGTACACCCCCCGAGGCAACCCAAGCACCTCCAGAGGGGGGGAACGGCCCCCCAGTGCCAGACATCCCCAGTGAACCCATCCCCAGGGAACATCCAGATACTCCAAACTCAGACCCTCCACCCCCCCACCCACATCATCCCGCAGGACATCATCAACGGCCCCCCATCACCGCTATGTGATGGAACCGATCAAAGGAGCCCAGAGAGATTTATTTGAAGTGGAAGCAGAGGCTATATCAAGTGCAATATGATCTAACAAAAGATTTCTATACTGGTTAATGCAGAGATTTTCTCTATTTTTCCAATTCAAGAGGATAGTTTTCTTAGCGATGCATATGGCAGTCAGAACCACGTGAACCAAAGATTTTTCAATCGGGACATCATCCAGGTTTCCCAGTAAACAAAGAGAGGGGGTGATTGGGATATGACATTTCAGAGACTTTGACAGGTCTTCACATACTCTACCCCAAAATTCCTGGACAGGTGGACAGGACCACAGTGCATGAACGTAATTGTCAGGAATGTTGTTTGTGCAGTGTGTACAGATGTCAGACGACACAAACCCCATCTTGAACATCCGATGACCTGTATAGTGTACTCTGTGTAGAACTTTGTACTGAATTAATTGTAAATTGGGGTGTCTGATCATTTTAAAAGTTTTTAAACAAGTTTGGGACCAGAAGTTCTGGTCAAAGCTGACTGATAGATCTATTGCATGTGGGAGTTTGGAGCAGCTCAGTTTAGAGTTTAGCTCTAGTATTGTGTTTGAATAGAATATAAATTAGAATGATTTGTCCTACTTATATTGGTTGTTTTCCCTTCCTAATAACAGAATAGACCGCTACCTAGTGATCCTGTGAGACGTTTGTTGCCTTGTGCTTCTGGGGGAGATGTACATCTGTTTCAGGGTGGGGAGGGGACAGCTGGTGTTTCATTCTGCTGCCCCTGATGATGAAGTCTCTGACTTCATCATCACACTCTGGCCCTGCCCTCACCTGCTACCAGGCTTCCTCCATCTTGGGTAGCTTGATCTCATTTCACGGCAGGGTCATCTGTCCTATGTGGACGTCTTCCCTTGAGATCCATGAAGCACTCTTTTCCAATGGCACTATAGTCTTGATTGGCTGTACCGTCTTTTCATTTGACATGCGACCAGTTTTTTTCCCCAGCTCTTCCGTATCTGCCTTTTTATAGTTCCTAGCATATCGTAAACACAATGTCAGCGACAGTTCACCATTGATTGTCTAGGGGGAGGAGCCACTGGTTGCTCCAGAGCTTTCTGCCTGCTGCCTCACTGCCTGCCGATGTTTGTGGGCTTAGAGTCTGATAAAAGGCCAGAAACTGAACAGTGTTGTGTTTTTGTGTCACATGAAGATCACCTCAAGCTGTTTGCAGATCATCTTGCGCTACCTTTGTGTCAGGTAAAGGCATCCCCCCCATCTGCCTGCCTGCACTGTGACGAGCGCAGCCATTAGGGCTCACCTCAGTTTAACGTGGAAAAGACACCCACACTGAGCTGAGTTGAGTCAAGTTTAGCTGAACTGAGCCATGTTTAGCAAGGTAACGGGGCATTTGTCTGACCACTTCTCTGAGTGAGCTTGGCCGCGAGAGAGCCTGACACCACACACACCCACGATCAATGGGACACCTCCACCATGAAAGGCTGATGGTTCAGGGGAGAAGTCCAACTTTTATTTTAAACACGATTTTGACACAATAACCAACTTTACAGAAGCATGGTCCCCAGATGACTAAAAGGCAAGACCTCACCCACCCTTGAAGGCATGTTTAATTTGAAAACCCTTTTAAAGTTCTTGTGTTGATGAAGTTGATGTTTAAGTCTGTTAAGGCAGTTAAGAGGGATGATTGGTGGATGGGCTTTGATGTAGTTGTTTCTGGTATTAGCTTCACTAATGCCAACCTGCAGAGCTGCTGAGTCAGCAGCATTACAGCAGACTGACTCTTTAATCTCTTGACCCCGGCTATTTTAAGGAGGAGTCTGTTTCTGTCTCAGAATATGTTACAAAAGAGCTCAGGTGACTTCCAGTGTTTGCCAACACCATCCTTCTGCAGTCTCTGATTGAATAAACTACTTTCACACACAGAGAGCACCTTCCTTCATTCATAGGATTTACCTAAAAATAACCAGAGCTTCTTACAGAACGAGGCAGTTGCTGTCAGGTTGTATCTCACCTGCTCGCTCCACATAGCTTTCTTCCTTAATATTAATCTTTAAAAATGGAAACCTTGCAGTGAAAAACACTATATTATCTATTTAAAAACATTTGTAGTATTTATTTATGTAAATTATTATATCAGACAGACCAATGGTATTCTAGATTTGATTCAAACCTACCTTAACCCTTTCTCTGTAGCACTAGTCACGGGTTCCCCCTTGGCTTTATGATTTGGAATTAAAGTAAAATAAATATTACTTCTCACTGGAAATAATGATATAAGGAAGGTTACAGTCTCATCATTCCTTGGAAGAAATTCACATAACTGTAGAATTGTTTATTTATTCATTTTTCTTTCCCAATGGGCAGGGAGGCGAGAGAGAGAGAGTGAGAGAAAGCTCTCTCTCTCACACACACACACACACACACACACACACACACACACACACACACACACACACACACACACACACACACACACACACACACACACACACCAGAACCAAAATATCACTGCACCAACAACATGAGGATATATAACAGTAAAAATTTTTGCTGAAAAGCAAACAGTTATAATTCATAGTGCATTTAGTGCCAACCACAGCCTTAGGTTATGTGTAAAACGGCCAGGTCCATACCTGTGTGCACACACACATTTATGTCTGTAAGGTTTCTCTATAGAAGTGTTCAATAGTGAGTATGAGGTACCACAGACTTGCCCCCAAAGACCCGTGGAAGATGGAGGAGATTAAAGCCACAGAGATCTCCCCCGGAGCGCGGAGACCGCCGCCGAAGTGAAACTGGGTACAAGGCTTGAGTCAAACCCAGCACGAGTTAGATACTGATGTGAGTAATCAACCAGCACTGAATGAGTGTCCTGCTGCCGTTTATATTCCCCAGCCAGCCTGATGAGAGATCAGCAACAGCTGAGGGCTACTAGACATGCCCACCTGCAATCTAGAGCACAAAGAGACAAACAAGCATGCAGGGAGGCCAAACACAGACCGTGACAGTCAAGGTGATCGCTCTTTCCAGACAGTTGAACCTCCACTTTGGACTTTCTTTATTTTTATGCTGTACTGACAGTCTGGACATCTTTAAACAGCAGCTGAAGACCCTTTATTTTCCTTTATTTTAAAATGGCAATTGATTAAATGTTAAGTGTTTTTTTTCTTTTATTTATTCAATTACCTTTTCACCTGTTTTATCTACTTTTGTTTTTAATGACCTTTATTCATTTGTTTTTGCATTGTCTTTAATCGTGTTTTATTTTTGATGTGATATATAGATAAACTTAACTAACTTATGTCGTCACCACCTTTTATGTCTGCGTTTCAGTCAAAGACCCGAACAAAGGGTCTCTCGTGACTCTTCGACCAACTCACCAGCGTTCAGCTCAACATCTGGGAATCTGAGTTAGCTGTGTTTTAGTGCTGGCTAATGTTGATTAGCAGTGGCAGCCATCTTTAATCTCACTGAGTCCAACAGTTAATCTAATGTAGATGTTCATCCTGTGAGTTCTGTCTGGGAGTAAATAAGAAGCAGCAGGTGATAAATTGGAAATAAACACACCCACTTCACTGTAACTAGTCCTCCTTTATCGTTTGTGCAGCTCCTGTTCAAGTATGACCTGGTCAAGTATGACATGATAAAAGATGAAGTGGTGAAAGATCATCAGGGCTTCTGTCAGCGAGTCAACAGGGGTAAGGCCTTCTTTAACAAACCTCACCTGTAACTAGTTGGGATTTATTTGTTTTATTGAGTTCATTTGTGTTTTTATGTCCGTTATTTCAGGAGAGACGGGGCTTTTGCTGTCCAAGGTGAGCTCCATCAGCCCATTCTTCGGCTACGCAGGGAGCAAGCAGCTGACTGAGAAGAAGCTGATGAGGAACGTTTTTGTAAAGGGCGACGCCTACTTTAACACAGGTGACCTGATGGCTGAAGACCAGGAGGGCTTCATCTGCTTTAGAGACCGAGTGGGAGACACATTCAGGTATACTTTGAGAAGGAGAGGGACACCTTGTTTTTGCATTTGTCTCAAATTGCACCAAGTAGCAAAATATTTGTTGTTTTGAAAATGATCAGATAAAGGTATTTTTTCCTCTGTTGCCTCCTTTATCTAGCCTTTAGACTAAATAAATGTATTATTTAGTCTGGCAATGGCCCTCGGTTGTGGGGTGGGTTCTACCGTTGTCTTTCAAATGATCTCCGCATGCTATTGGACAATGAATGTGACATACTCACCGCAACAGCTATCGGTAAATGAGGTGGTCTGCAGTTGAAGAAGGAGAAAACGCCAAATTTTTTCTAAAAAAAAAAAAAAAAAAAGCACTTAAATGCATCTATCTGCTCCTGATTCTGATGAAGCCCAAGTTCTGATAGTCCAAGATTGATGTGAAAGCTGTTTCAAACGAGCTGTCGCCATCTTGTTTCACTCTGATGCATCATCCCACCCACCAGGCATATAGAGTGCCCTGATTGGCCCACAAAGCGGACAAAGCTCTGTGATTTGTTCACTAAGCAGATAGAGGACTATGATTGGCCCACCATTATGGACCAATCACAGCTCTTTATGTGTTTGAAACCCCTCTAGAGAGCTGTGATTGGCCAGCCAGAATGCTGATAGGGACTGCAGAGGCTCCAGTGGAGCGTTCCTAGACCAAACTTTGCAAAGCAAGAATTTGGTCCAGTTCACTAGGCTATCCTTTATCTGCAGTCTGAGAGAAACCATGAACTGAAACCAGAGCTGTTGCTTGTGAGATCAGGGCACCCAACACCAGGTCCCTCCCTGCTGGTCTTTCAAATGTGGTCCTAGATCCCATTCATGTCTTATCTCTTTCAAAGCAACCTCAGTCAGAAGCATCATGTCTCATTGCATCTGACCTGTACGTCATTGAAGTATGACAGAAGGAGCTATTCTGCTCCAGGGGAGGTGGTAAGATCACATGCTGCTGTGGAGACCAAGCAGAAAGATGGACCGCCTGGTTTGACGTCATTTAACCCTCTGGAGGCAGGCGTTGCAGATTTGCAACAGTTAAAACCTACCTACCTGGTTACTCCACATACGTATTTCATGATCATGTTTTAACTCAGAAGCACCCCTGAAGGACTTAGTTGTTTGTCCTTTTATCAAAACTTATTTTGAGCCTGAGAGGGTTAATCTAACAGAATCCAATTTTCTTCAGTTTGCCTTAGCAGCATAAACTCTACAGAGTACGGGTCCATTAAATCACTTCCCACGAGTGGCTGGTCTACAGCAGAGTGGTCCCATGCTTTTCCAGACTTACTCCAAACTGACCTCACACCTACAGGCATGTTTCTGCTCCAGGGTGACGTCCCACTCTCTGTTTTCTGGACAGGATACTCTGATCCCTTGTGCTTGCCGTCCTCACAAAGGCTTCTGAAAAATGTTTTGTCTGGTTGCTCATCCAGAACCAATTAGCCACGGGAGAACCAACCAGTGAGGGAGGGAAAGTGTAAGGAGGGTTTATAAGCTTTGTGTTGTGGATGCCGGGTGGACCTGCTCTGACTTGGTGTGCAGGGGCCTGGGTATTAGTCTCTCTCACTGTTCTTGTTCTGTCTAATTGCAGGTGGAAGGGTGAAAATGTTGCAACCACAGAGGTGACGGAGACTCTCGGGCTGGTGGATTTTATTCAAGAGGTCAACGTGTTTGGCGTGGAGGTACCAGGTAGGGTGTGATTTTGTCTTTACTGATGCAGGAGCAGCCATCCAGATCTTTATAGATGCTGTCATGGTGGTTATGTTTGACAGGACATGAGGGTAGAGCAGGAATGGCAGCCTTGATAGTGAGACCTGGACTAACGTTTGATGGGAAGAAGCTGTTTGAACACTCAGTGAGGGATCTCCCAGCGTACGCTCGCCCAATCTTCATCAGGCTCCAGGTAACCACTTTCTCTAACACCTGGGTGCTGATATGTCACCAGGTGCAGGATATAAGGATGGATAGATAGATAGATCCTTTATTCATTTCATAAAGAGAAATTCACAGTGATGGCAGCAAATACATTAAAAAATGAAGCGTCTTCCTTAATCCTTAGGATAATAAGAGTTAAAAGGGTACAAGAATTAAAAAGAGTTCTGTGATGAGGGTTTATTTTAGTCTACACACTAGACCATTCACTTCAATTCAAAGATACTTTATTAATCCCAGAGGGAAATTAGAGTTTCAGTACACACAATTCTGAGATCAGACATACATAGGCAAAGACACATGACAAGAATTGGTGACTGTGGTCATTTGCAACCCGAGTCGCGCTACCTTAATAGAGATCAGAGGGGTTTACATGAGGATTGGGTCAGGTGGAAGGAAAAAAAGGCACTTGAGAGTTACCCTCCACAGGGAGGGCAGCTTTGCTATGCAAAAAACACCTCAGACAGAAATGCAATAGACTTCAGACATAACACAACATAAGTGTCCACTAGGTGGGGTGGTAGGGTCTGGGACTCTCCACATGTCAGTGAATGCAGCCACGATAAGCAGTGCTCGTCACCTCAGTCTGGACAGGGGTGGGAGATCGTTGGGTTTAGAGGGCACAGTGACTCCTGGAACGATTCGGCGGCCTTCACAGCTCGCAGTCCCGCCCAGGCTGGGATTGGGAGACAGAGTTGCCATGGCATGGCAGCATTCCACATTTCTTGGGGGGGGGGGGGTTTAATTCATTTCAGCCTCACAGGCTCAAGGGCACCAGATTCAGATAAGAAATTGTTTTGGGGCTTGACAGAGATAATTTCTTCTCTGTCTTAAAGTTCTGTTGGTCCTCAACCTCTCTGAATCCAATAATGGCGTAAATTAATCTATCCCCAACTGCACTGATTCGTCCACTCACTCCTTGATCGCATCCATCTTCTGTGCCAATGCATGAATCTCAGCCAAAGTTCCAAGCTTACGACTCATCTCGACAATTATATGAGTGTGTGCATTCACAGCTCAGTGTAATCCATCCCTGCGCTCCGGGAAAGAGCCAATATTCCTCAACAGCTCATTAATTTTCCGGTAAGCCAGGTAGCCTTCCAGGCCAAAAAGCAGGAAACCTGACACCAACACCACGAATATCCAGACGTCTTCAGAATCCTCTACAGCAGGGGTCGGCAACCTGTTCCCATCAAAGAGCCATTATTACCCGTTTCCCACAGTAAAGAACACTGGGAGCCACAGCAGCCGCAGCGTTGTGGGCGGGGCCTACCCTCAGACATCTGAGAGCTGCTTTAACCAATCACAACAGGTGACAGCAGCCAGTACCGGTCGCTCGTGTACGTCAAAGTTATCTTTCATAAGACGATAATCAATAAAACGATTTATATAAAATGGATCCAGAAGTTGTAGCCCGTCTCTGCCTACAATATTTTGATATTTTTCACCCTGTTGGTGGTTTTTCTGCGCAGGTGCCACTTTTGTCATATGTTTTAAACTGTTCAGAATACAAATCCAGGCTCTGTCACGTTTGATTGTTGTAATTAAACTTTGTAGGTGGGGAAGGTCAGAAAAGGATCCGATCAATTTGTTTTTCCCTCATTTACGGAGACAACGGCGCAGTGCGCCTGGCTCTGGTGTTAATCAAGTTAAATTATATCTCTTTGCAACAATTTTGACAAGAAAACAGAACAATTAAAAGCAGGGCTTGTGTTGTGTTGACCGGACATTTCCCGTATTTGGCCGTTTATTTTGACGGAGAAAGAATAGAAAGAATTACCCCGACGCATGCAGACGAACTGACATTTTATTTGTTATGCACATCGCAGATGAAGCTAAATCACTCAAGAAATTATTCCCATCTGAACATCTGAGCTGGACAATGCTCAGCGCAGCTCACTGTCAGCGCTTACGTACGGTGCACAGCGAGCTGAAGATGTGGAGAGGGGCTTGGAGCGCGTCGCAGAACCAGAGCGCATGCAGGAAGATTCCTCCGACTGAAGCGAGCGTTTTCCAAACCCTGTCTCTCAGAGAGACTTGTCACTTAGAAAATGTTCCCTGATGATGAAACTTTGGCTGAATAGTGCTTGTTCCTGTCTCCAATGTGGCGACGTATCCAGGAGCCGTCTGAGGAGAAGCCCAGAATCTCACATCCTCTTCAGCTCAGAAAGCGCCGATATGATTACGCACAAGCGTGACGCGTCAACCCGGTCTCGCAGTAAGACTGGGTTGGGCCTGTTCAGGTTTACGCAGACAATCTTTACATTTAGAATTGGCTTACAGATGTAAAAGTAATGCAGTAAAATATAAAGCATTTTATTTAAATATCCATTCATTATTTTACAAGCACAGAGAGCCGCATCAGATGGATGGAAGAGCCGCGGGTTGCCGACCTCTGCTTTACAGACAGTTGAGATAAGAAAATCAGGTTCCACTGTTTCCAGGAGTCCATGATATGCCCAGCTGGATCTGTCCCAGAGGGGCACCCGGGAGCCCCTTCTCCCGTTCTCATCGTTGAAAAATTTTGTCAGTCGCGTTGAGAGACCAACTGACCAGGTCCATTTTAGTAATTTCAGTTTCCAGTTTTCCAGAAAAAATGCAGAAGCGCCGTACACCCAGAGACAGACAAAGAGCCTTGGTTTAAGATGGGGAGGAGAGGAGGAAAAAAGCGTCTGCACTCTCCAAGAGCTGGAAGAAGAATGGTACACTGGTCAGTGGAGAGGCTCCTTTGATATAAACTGACTCCAGCTGTGGTTTTGATCTCCTAAAATCCACCGCCATCTCTTTTGTTTTGGAGATATTAAGGAGCAGGCGATTGGAATCACACCATGGCACAAAGTCCTGAGTCAGATCACTGTACTCATCCTCCTGTCCAGAATCTTCTGTCTTTTCTGTTGTTCCAAAGTTCATTATCCTGGTAGAAGCAGGACTGAGCCCCACTAGACTTATGTTGGTTTGTAATCGTTGCTATGGACACAGTGGTGGAGGTTTCTGAACTCAGTCACTGCTGAGTGATTTTAGAACAGCTCTGTATTTGAAGGATGCTCTTTATTTGTAACCTGAACCATCAGGGCTTGGTCCCGCCCACTTGTATTTGGATCTTCATGCATCCATTCCATCACTGATTAAGTTATTTATAACTACAATAACATAGAAAAGCCCCTCAAGGTTTTCCATCCTGGAACAAAAACAGTTCAGTGTTATTTTAGGAAACATGTGGGTGGAGGGAGCATCTCAGGTCTAGGTGGACCACCTTAGGCTCGCGAGTCCCTGGTGATTCAGGGCTTGTTGTTGGGGAGCACCTTATTATTCTGGTGGGGATGATGTTGTCCACACAGGCTTAAATAATCAGTCGCACACCCACTCGTGGCATTGATGTCATCTCCATGTGGCTCAAACAGTCCATCCCAGTCTGTAGTCCCTGCAGAGTCACTCCAGCTTCCTAAGAATAACTCTTCATAATTCAGTCACAGGCTGCATCTGAACAAGGGGTTTGTACACAAGTGTTCTTCAGAGTGTTCTTATTACACCACGCATGGTAAGATTATCTGATAAGATTATCGTTAGGTCCTTACAGCCACCTGGTGCTTCCATTAGATTGTTGTAAAGGGAGAAACGGGTCAAAAATAGACTTTCCACCGTGTCTGGTCTGCTCGTAAGCACATCGGGACTGCTCCGATCAATCACAATCGGGGCTGTGAAACATGTTGAATTGTCTTGGTCATGGAGGACAAACAAGCCTGCTGCCTGTCCAATGTGTCCAATGTTCAAGTGACAGAAGCACATATTATGCTCTTCTACACCATGTTTGGTTATCTCGTGAGATTTCCCATCTGACCGGGAAATGTTCCAGAGTAAGATCAGTAGCATTTGCCATGCTGCTGCTCACCACACTGTCAGGTTCAGAGCAGGAGGAGTAGGACCCAGTGTGCAGAGCACCAGACGACATGAGGCAGGAGTAATTGAAAAAAGGTAGAATCCTTTATTTTGGGAGTTTATCCAAAAACGACGGACAGAAAGTCAAGCCAGGCATCCAGAAAACACGAACAAGTTCAGGAGTCATTAAACGAGCAGGAGTCTCGGGTTTTACACGGGGGAACAAAACGCGCTGACAACAACAATGGACCGACAAACACTGAGGGACAAGACAGGGTTTTTAAACACAGAGGAAGGTAATCGGGGGAACAGGTGTGAGGAGTGAGATTCTGGAGGGAAGGCAGGTGCATTCAGTAAACTAAATGGGGAAAAGAACGAAGCAGGAGGTAAGATGAACATTAACCTATAAAACACGGAGTAACTAAACCTAAAGACTAAGGGCAAATATAAACAACTAATAACTAGAGGGATGAGGAGGACTAATATAAAAATAGGAATTACCAGGGAGAGTCTAGAAGGAAACCTGAGGGAAGCCTAGAGAATCCTGGAGATGATAATGAGACACAAAAGGAGAACCTGGAGTGAGAACAGGAGGGGGCTGGGGACCAGAGGGACACGGCGCACACACTGTAGGACGAAAACTGGTACATCTGTGTTTTTTTTATCATCACGTGTGTGGTCTCCCATGCTATGAAAATTGATCGACAATTTAAAAATCTCGCTTTGTGATCCGGGCCTTAGATAAAAAGTTCTTCCAGCTCAGCCCTTCTGCAAAGTATAACTGACTTGTGTGTTTAACCCCACAGGAGGTGATGGAAATGACGAGCACCTTCAAGCAGCAGAAGTTTCAACTAGTGCAGAGCGGCTTCAACCCCTCCACCATCTCCGATCCACTCTACGTGCTGGACTATCGACAGAAGAGTTATGTTCCTCTAACGGAGCAGCTCTACCAGAGCATTGTCAGTGGAGAACACAAGCTCTAGAACCCAGTGTGAGCGAGCGAGCGAAAGAGAGAGATTACATCCTAAAACTGTGAACGAGATTCTGGACCTTCAGCAGAGATCCTGCTGTCCTCCTCAATACGGTTTGAGGAGAACTCTGTGACCTTTGATGTATTTTAAACAGACTTTAATTTTGTTGTTGATCACACAACTCATTTAGGTGAATGAGCTCCTTGAAGCACAGCAGCATCACTTGGTGTCCATCCAGCTGATTAAAGTGATGAAACATAAGTCCACATCAACATTTCTTCAGTCATTGATGATAATTGTTCTGTTTGGGATTTGGAAATTAAATGTGCTGAACGTGTGTAGCCTTTCCAGACCTATCGTCCGCTCAATCAGAACTATTCCAGAGCTTTCAGGTTCTCAAACTGGTGTCATGTGACACTTTGAACTTCACTGATCTGATCATATGACTTCTGCTGATTACATCTAATTAGCTGCATCACATCAGAGCAAAAAGCTTTAGCCAGACTGAGGATGAACCCACAAGTCTGCTTTTTTTCTTCTAATCCTCTGGTTTCTACTCTCCGCCCAAAGCAGCAGGAAACGTGTTTGGTTGATTATGTTTGTGCTGCAACGACGCTGCTTGGTAATAAATCTGATTTCATTAAGGAGCCTGATCAGTCACTATTCCTATGAGGTAGGATCCTGTTTGTATTCTGCTGGATGATTGAACGTCCCCACACTAATCAGCCAAACATGTTTCCTTTCTTCTAATCCTGAGTTTATTTTGTAGACACGTTGAGACCAGACAGAAAGCAAGAGTCCAGTGAGTCCTTTAATCTGCTGCTTAAATGCGACAAGGAAGAGTTCACGTAAACGGGAGATTCTGATGATTAAAAGGTCTTTAATGGTTCAGTCTGCATTTTTCCAAACAGCTCAGTCGTCACTAACGCAGTAAAATCATTTCTTCACATGTTTTAAGCTTTTAAAGGGTAAAAATCCACCTGAATCGTCCAATCAGCTGATTCTATGATTGATTATTTTCATTTTCCACTTATTTATGTTGTAATGTGGTTTTCATCACGCTGTCTCAGGGTCAAACTAAAATCTTTAGAGGAAGGACTGGTACACTTGTTTTCATTAGTCTGCATTGATTAAAGTCACCCTCAGGTGCCTTCATGACATGGTACAGGAATGATTTCCCCCAAAGCCCGGTCAGACTGAACATTTTTACGTGTTTGTGTTGCCACAGCAGACGATTGGCCAAAGCATTAAAACCATTTCCTGCACAGGTGAATGGAACCTGCTCAAAGGTGGGACTTAGTGAACTGTTTGTTGTGATGTGTTGGGGGGAGGAGTGTGGGCCAGTGTGAGGATATAAATCATTTAAGTGGGTCTACATAGGAGGACTCACTGCACCAGAGTGTCTGAGCAGAGAGGAGGACTGGGTTCTGTGGTGGATGCAGGGTTCTGAATTTATTGGACCTTTTGTATCTTTGTCCGAGATCACATGAGTATGTTCACTGCAGCAGGCTGGATGGAACCATCAGGCAGGATCTACCATCCATCTGTTGATCTTCTGTGTAGGTCTGACCCAAGAACTGCGTGGTAGTGCAGCGGGGGTTTGTTGTTCTGCCAGGGCTTGATCGTTTACAATCGCAAGCCAGGTAAAACCTGTTTTTCCACTTTTTTGCTGCCACCACTGTAAGATCTTCACTGTAGGGATGGTATTGGCCTGGTGATGAGCAGTGCCTTATTTTCTCCAAATATAAAGCTTTGCATTCACTCCAAAGAGTTCAATTTTTGTCTCATCAGACCATAGGATTTTGTTTCTTATGGTCTGAGAGCCCATAAGGTACCTTTTAGCAAACTCCAGGCAGGCTGTCATGTGCCTTTCACATAAGAGTGGCTTCCGCCTGGGCACTCTACCATACAGGCCTGATTGGTGGATTGCTAGAGATGGATGTCCTTCTGAAAGGTTCTCCTGTCTCCACAGAGCGATGCTGGAGCTCTGACAAAGTGACCATCGGGGTCTTGGTCACCTTCCTGACCAAGGCCCTTCTCCCCCGTTCACTCAGCTTAGAACGCCGGACTCAGAAACTCACTTCACCCAAAACAATCATCCCCCAAGTGGCAAAAACATCTATTCACCTGGCAAAGACATCTAGTCACCTAAAAAAACATCTATTCATTACACTGATTGGCATATTGACCTACCAGGTCAACATGTTGAGCGGGTTGTCCAGTAATCGGAAGGTTGCAGGTTCGATCCCGGCTCCGGACAGAGAATTCTGCTGTTGTGTCCTTGGGCAAGACACTTAACCCACCTTGCCTGCTGGTGGTGGTCGGAGGGTCCGGTGGCGCATGTGCTCGGCTGCCTCGCCTCTGTCAGTGCGCCCCAGGGCAGCTGTGGCTACACTGTAGCTCATCCCCACCAGTGTGTGAATGTGTGTGTGTGAATGGATGAATGATACACTGTAGCGTAAAGTGCTTTGGAGTCCTTACTTTGAGAGGCGCTATACAAGTGCGGGTCATTTATCATATTGAAACTCAGAAACTGTCCTCCCCCAACTGGCAAATGCAAATGTGGCAATGTGTAATGGTACGTTTCAGTTAATGAGCCATCAGCGCAACAAAAGATGAGCTCTGCAGGAGCTCAGGCTTGCAGGAGGAATACATTTTCCAGTAAATCCAGTGTTAAAGGGTTAGCCACAGTTTGAGGGTCAGTAGGTCAGTCCTGACTGATGGAGCCCATTCTTTGTGAATTGTCTAGTTTTGTTATTCCACTCACCTCCTGAGGATCATCACAAGTTCTCTATGGGATTAAATCACCCAACCACACCCCACCTGCTTACCCCCTATTGCATCTAGGCTCACAACATTCTGAAGGACTCCCCACCCTGCTACCCCCAGGAGGCGCCAAAGGTCCAGTCAAACTCAACAAACCATTTCAGGGCCGGAACCAGGCAGAACTCAACCCATCTCAGATCCTTCACCACCTGCAGGATTTCAAAATAAATGCATTAGTTGTTTTAATGATGACAAAAATATTCTATTGGCTTGTTGCAGTGCGGCTGTTGGACAGCAGGGGGCAATGACACCTTGTGAACAGATCTACACCGGGAGACCAGTCTGACCAGTAAAGACTGTAGGTCTGCCAGAACAATGCCTTTGGTCACATGGGCTGTTTTAAACAACAAAGGACACTGAACTGTTTACTTTCATCATCATCACCAGATAATTCAATATTTATTTTTGACAAAGATGCCTAAATAATGACCTTAGCGTGTGAGGGTGTGTAACTGTGTGTGTGTCTCCTTCTACCAGACAGACAGCAGGTCTGTAAACCCTGTTGGGTTGACTGAATCATCCAGCCTGTCTGTACCAAAAGATGTACAATGTGAAAAAAGAACAGATCTCCTTCTATAAAAGATTAGAGCTGAGATAAACAATCCTGAAACTGATGGTTTGATGTCAGATTTCTTGATTTGGGGTGAGAGATGTATTTGCGGGATTTGGAGCAAGCTTTTAGTTAAAAACACTCAGATTCAGAGAGATGACATTTAACCCAATCTGCACGTTGCAGCTCATTCTAATATTACAGCAGATGTATCAGTTCTGCACAGCCATGATAATCCAGGGTCCATATTAGGAAGCAGAGTAGCTTCTCTGACTTCACCCTCCCAGATCCCCACTGCCATGGTCCACATTAACCAAAGATAGGAAAACCATAATTATCTCACGGTGATAAATACTGAAAGTAGTGTAGGACAAGAAGATCAAACAGATGTGGTTCATCTAAACGTAAGATCTCTCTAATGATTCATACAAATTTTGTCCACCAGAAACCTGATTGCAGAAGAAGAATCGTGTTAGTGTTAATGGATCAACTCCTAATGGTTTAAAATGTCATCTTCGTGCAACAGGCCACGGAGGAGGAGGATCTGTTATTTTTTGATCAGGTACTTTCCCAAACTCACTTTCTTCCCACCTCTTGATCTTGTTTTGACATTTGACTTAATCCTGTTTCGTCACAACCCCGTCTTGTCTGATTAAGGTTAGATTATTAAAACACTTCAGTCAGATCATGCTGGCTTCCTGGTTTAATTGAGACTTGCACATTTTAAAAGTGGCTTTAGGAAAATAAAACAAACAAAATGCAAAGTTAACACGTTGATTAACATGTCAGAAAGCCTCCTGCTCAGCTACAACTCAGTGTCATTCATAAATGGTTAGAAGAACAGCCTAAGGTTTCCGGACGGATGAAGAGTTAGTGGGTAAAACTTTGTTTATAGCTCCTCTTATGACAGAAATCAAAGATACAGAAAAGAAACAAAAACACAAGATACACCAAAAATCAGCTGATGAAAAATATGTTTTTCGGCTGACTTTGAAAGGAAACAGTCTCTGTTGAGCCACATATCCCTATAGCCCTCAGGAGGGATGATTTAATAAAATCCTTCATAATTAATAACCTCACTTAGAAAGTAAATTCCCACCATCCTCATCACTGTTGATCATTAACAAGTCAGACAGATTCAGTAGCAGCAGAAGAACCTGGTTTATGTTTCTGTCCTGTTCTGCTCAGAAGCACCTGGATCTGCAAGGACAAGTCTGCTGCAGCAGACAACAGGATTTAGAGTCTTATTTCCTGATATTTGGACATCTTCCCTCTGACTGGATAACAGCAACGCAACTCTACGACTGACTGTTTGCTCTGCGACGTTGATGTTTTATCTCCACAAATAACACAAGTCTGAAGGAGCTCTGCTGTGTGGTTGAGCTGCTAACGCTAACGGTTGGTTTCTGCTAGCAGAGACATTTAATTCTGTTTGCTAGACACATTGTGTTTTCTGACACAATGTAAGTATGCGTAAAGATTAATGGACCAAGCACAGAACCCTGAGGAACCCCATGACTAGCTGTTGGAAAGAGGAAGACTCATTATTAACATTAACAAACTATAATCTATAAGATAAAGACTTTAACCAATTAAGTGTTTTCTCTGAATCCCAGTAAAATGTTTAAACCTCTGTAATGGAATGGTGTTGTCAACTGAATCAAACCAGTCCACTGTCTGAAGTCATGAGTACATCAAGGTGTTGAACACTGACATTTTTTTTAAATATTTATTTCTGACAATCATCAGTCTCTCTGAGTTTTTTATGCAGGCTGAACATGAAAATAGTCTCCTACTCCTATCTCCTCTGTTAGCTTCTGATAAAAATTAGACGGTGACGTGTTAGGATTAGAAATGTCTGACCGCTCTACATCAATTCAAGAGGTCACTTGGACACACCAATCTTGACTCACGATGAGGAAGGCTGTTGTTGGGTTATGGGCCATTCCCATCTGTACCGGGTCGGCCCGGGACGG